GACGGAATTCAGCTCACAATACAAGCAGACTATTTTGAAAATCATCCTGAAATCATTTACTCATTCTAAAGGAATAATACGAGTAATCATATGTAGAACACAAGTTCATCCGTTCAAAACTAATTTATATATATGTTGCTCTGTCAATGGGGGTCATTTGAATAAATATGTTGCATGCATTTTCTACTGAGAAGAGCTAATTAAAAGAAGAGATTGATCATCTCGAGAACATGAATGGGGTCGGACATTGTTTTTCTGGAATCTCAGAGTTTTTGGAATCTGAAAGTTTGAACATTACAGCAGATTAAATGTATGTTTTCAACTGTTTTTTTTATTTAAAAAACAGTTAATTTGTAGTGTGAAATTGACTTAAAATGCATGGTAACTAATAGTCCGAGAAACCTGCATTATTGTTAAAGACCAGTAGGGGGCAACTCCCCTCATTGTAAAAATAAGTTAAATTGAATGCAGGTGTAATAGAAAATGACTCCATTGGTTAATCACCACAGTATAAACTTCCTGAAGAGTTTATCGTCTTCATAGCTAGTTTATAGTCGAGCAAATAAAGCATGGTGTTCTTTTTGTAAGTCCTGGTCAAATTTAGAGCAAATTAACGAAGGTTATGTTTAATGGCTTGGATATCCTCCTGGTTTGATAAAAGTAGGACAGCAGATATAATTCTAATGACAAACAGCAGGTCGGTAACATGGGCCAACAGAGAATGTGCACAATCATAATAGTAGCATTAAAGAAAAAAATTGCAGTCCTTGCAGACTTTTACATCAACTGTTAGCTTATCATTTTATCTCTTTGTTTGTTTTCCTTTATGTGTCGTCAGCCTGATTGAATCCATGTAGAACATAAAGGCTCTACAGATATTGTAAAATGTCTGGTCTGTGTCTTGTAAGGTATTGGTTAACTCATGGGAAAATGTCCCCACTATGGCATTTCTAATCTGCAGAAAATCTGCAGAAATCACAAATTCTTCAATGTGCACAGAGTATGTCTGAAAGGGGCAAGACTTAACTCTGGAAACATAGGAAAACACCAATAAACACAAGAAGATTATTACAGCAGCATTACATAACCCTCAGACTACTCTGTGATATTCCACAAAAGTTTGCACAAGGCTTCGATGCCCTGCCATGTACAGTCACTCTCTGAAAACACACAATGGAAACATTCAACGTTCAATCAACACACTGCTGGTTTCATCTGTCACCTCAGTGGTCTAATCCAAACTCTCAGCCAGTCCCCTGCTATCTGACATCTCTGTTTGTGCTCTAACATACAGATGATAGCTGTGAGACATGTGATAAAACCCAAACTGGAACATAAACAATGTGTGACGTTGTGGAATCCAGACGTGACACACTCGGGCGCCTGGCACAGCTCCAATCTCAGATCAATTTCAACAGGTCATGGATGAATTTATAACAACCACAGGAACACGATGTAAGCCGAGAACATGTGCAGTGCTGTCACTGTATAAACAGAGCTAATAAAACAAATAAAGTCCACATGCTGATCACACAATACATGTGCTCGTGAAAAGTTGTTAGTAACTAAGTGTACCTGGCAGAATAAAAGCATTGTACGCCATTTAATAACGCTGCATAAGGTTTGGCTTCAGCTCTCACATGTGTTTCATGCAACTAAAGACATTTTGTGAGCATGAGGTAATCAGGAAGTCAAATATCTCTCTTGAGCAGATTCAATTAAATATTGTAATCAATTAGATCCATCTCTCTGAAACGTGGAAGTTCCTTTTGAAGACATCAGAACCGCACGTCTAGACTTAAAGTCATCAACAGAGATGATTTAACATGTGATTTACAGGATTTGCAATACTAAGTACGTAGTCTTAAAATATTGATTTATGTATAGCAGCAAGATTAGACATGGAAGGCTGTTTATCTTGTACATTTCTTGAAGCATTTTACTGAACAAGTTTCAAATAAATGAAACACCTCAGAATTTAATTGAAGTGCCTGGAATTTATGAGGAGACTAATTGATGTTGAAAGAATATCAGCCGGCTGTTAATTTGAATAACAACTGCTCTCCTTATTAGTGTCCTTAATTAGTGTTTGTTATACTTTGAGAAGTTGTTAAAAGTAATTGGAGGGAAAAAGCCATCAAATCTGATTGGCATGTAGTGAAAAGAGCTGAAGCCTTATTGAGTCCTTGTGGTCTGGATTGAGACTTCACATCTGGCCAAACAAAGTTATCCACTCAGTCTACAAGTGTTTTTGGTTATAAGATGAAAAATAAAAAGAGACTTAGAGCTGCTGAGTGTTGCAGGAGAGGCTGTTGAGAGGTGGGAGAGTGTCATCTGGACACAAATCGCTCTGAACAAATGATGTAATGAGCTCCAGCTGAGAGAGTCTGACTTATACACCAGCCTGCTGCAGTGATTCATTGTTTAGCAGTCTTCAAATGTGATGCTGCTCTGTAATTAAAGTACAGGCAAATCTGGTGGTATGGGGGATTCACAATTAACAAAGGATATAGTAGAGTTACGTTTGACATTAGAAATGCATCATTTCGGGTTTATGTTGCATACAAATAAATAAAGTTAAATAAAAAAATTCAAGTAGATTTAGATTATGTTTTAATAGTAGAAATCATTTTCGCAAGAAAAGGTAAAATAGTTGAAAACTTAACTTGATTTTATACTCCCAAAAGAAAATTACCATAAAGTTATTGAGGAGTTTAAAACATGCAAACAACAGATAATTTAGCTTTGTGCTAAATTGACACAACTAGCTTGGAAAGCCTAACTAAAAAAGAAAAAGTGGTATTTTTGCATTAAAGAGTGAGAATTTCAGCCATTGTTGAAATGTGAAACCCGAGAATACTGACGCACACCTCATAACAACTATTGTGTCGTTTACGTTTGACAGCAGTAAACCAAATTACTGTAGTTATAAGTTATTTGTGTCAAAATCCTGTTCGTTAAAAAAAGCATGGTAATAATATCACCCAGCCGTTAATTCTGCGCAGGTCACGTGTATCACCTCTTACCTGTGCGCAACATCCCGGAGCCAGACTCGCCTCCAAAATCCACTGCTGCGTCTTCAGGTGAGGCGGTGGTCGACGTTAAGAGCCCGGTAAGGCAGAGGCAAACTGTCCAATTCAACAGCCAGCAGAACATCTTCCCGGTTTAATTAAACACCTGTCTAATTATGGTTTAAAAAAAACCATGAAAACAAAACGAGCCAAACTGTGCAGCTGACTGAACACAAAACCAGTTCAAATGTGGTTTTCATTCCCCATAAGTCAAGTGGAGAAGCATTGTTGAGCTTTCACTTCACTCTAGACTTAAACTTGGACACAAACTTGACTTCTCATCCTTCTATTCACCTCTCCTCCTCCTCCTCTTCCTCGGGCAGCAGCAGCCAGCTCTCTCCTCCTGCAGCTGCGTCACATCTTTGAGGCGCCAATGGAGCTTAAACAGGCCCCGCCCCTTTCTTCTAATGTCAACCAATTAAAATCCCGCATGGCCTCCGCCCGTTTTGTTTTGGAGCGTGTCTGTAACTAATTTACACATTTTTCAGTTCTAATTTGAAAGATTGGTCCATTTTCTAGGCATTAAAGACATTTGGACCCTTCATCACTACATACATACCAGGACTGGTTAGACTGCAACATGCTGCAGTTAAATGACCAATGTGGAGTCACATAGAGCCTTAAAATTCACTGACTGGTACCACATGACAGCTCAGTGTAAAAAAAACAATGTAAAATTTATGACACAGGTTAAGTACTGGTCATAAGTAGGTCAGTGTAGTGCATACTGTTGGTGTTTGCATATTTCACAGGATTACAGAATTACACAAGCAAATTCTACTGTAGACCTACTGTACTTCTCTATGCCTGTACTGTAGGCTACTTCCTCTTCCACATATTAGAGTTTCTCCTTCCTTTTACTATTACAGCACAACAAAATCTGCAAAAAAGCACTGTGCTCATGTATCAACAGTTAAGAAATAAAATACAAACAATATACATCATTTCATGTTGTCGGTCAGCTGATTAATCCTAGTCCAGTATTGTCCTATTAAAACAACAATCAAGGGAAAAATCTTCTTGTTGTACCGCTTTTCTATGTTCATCAGTAAGTCACTTACTAACTTTTTGCGGTGTGGAGGTCAGTTTGAGTAATGTTTGCTGAAAGCAGCTTCTTACTCAGTGCATTAAAAATCATATTAGAGCATTGCAAGTGAACCAAAAATAAAAAGCTAAATAGTGAAGCTGATTTTTTTTTTAAAAATCATCACTAGTTGCAACCAATTTCTCAATTCTACAGGTAGATATGTATCCTGTTTAAAGAATATCAATATCACATACGCTTTATTATGAATGACAAGATCAGGATTTTTTTCTTAGACATGATAAAGCTGGGCAGCACAGTGGTGCAGTGGTTAACGCTGTTAACAGTGAGAAAGTTCCTGGTTCAAATACCCATTGGACAGAGCCTTTCTGTGGAGAGTTTGCAGGTTTGGGATCTCTCCAAGATACTCCGGCTTTCTCCCACAGTCCAAAGACATGACCATTAGGTTAATTAGTGACTAAAATTACCTGTGGGTGTGATTGTGGCTGGTTGTCTGTCTCTATATGTGATCCCTGTGATTGACCAACAGCCCCCCTGTGACCCAAAAATGGTAATGGATATGGATGGATCACAAAGCTACCAAAAGTCATGGAAGATACTTTATAAAAAAAATGTGCAGGCTAACTTTACAGTATGTTGTTGTATTGATCGAGTGCCTCTATTTTAGCTACTTCAGTCATGTTTTCCTGCTTTCCATGTAGATTTATAGTATGTGACCTACAGTGAAATGTAAAAAAACAAACAAACAAACAAAAAACACAATTAGTACAAATCTAAACAATAAGATCTACAGTAGATCACCTCTAATACAAGAAGGTGACTGGACAAAAAGCTATCACAACCAAAAGTCTAATCACAATGCAATCTCCAGGGATCGGCATCTGTTGATTTCATAACCATACCTCTTTATTTAAGGACTTATATTCATACAAAATCTGTAGGTACAGTCCAAATGACTGTGGGAGAGACAGTCAAGTAACAGATCAGGCAGCAAAGGATTCAACCACTCCAGAACCTCTTCTCCAAAAAAGAAAGCGTCTTTTGCCACTTTGGTGGTTCTGTGATAAAATGTTCAAACTTTGTTTTTCTTTTCTTCACCTGAAACAGAAACACTTTGATTTTTAGATCATCTGAAAATACAACCAGGAAACAAATAGTACAAGTCGTGGACTGAATGAAGTCAAATAATGCCTCTCTTTGTTTTGTTTTTTTTGCACATGCACATTTTCATTTCAGAACATGCAATCAGGACATGGCCAGAGGGGACAGTCAAGAGTCAAACTGTCAAAAGAAACATGGCAGGATGTTCAGTAAGGGCTCATTAGAGGTCTGAAAACACAAATCTCTTCTTCTGTACTTCTTCAACTTACACATTTAAAGCCAACAATGTCAGCAGCAGTCTATTATGTAGCACATAACTGTCTTACACAATAGATTGCATAGCCACGCCTACTGTTAGAACTTACAGATTTGAAGTTAAAGATATCTTCTTTTAGATGATGCATCAAATAGATTGCACATACATGAGACAACAGGGAGGTAAAATAAAGCACAAAGAAACAATCAGACTTGGATCAAATAATATTTTTAGAATAATTTACATGGTTATAAACTTTCATAGAGTTAAGTCAAGAGCACCAAGAGAGCTTTAACCAAGGAGCCACATAGTCTGATCTTACCTTTAACCTTAACTCCTCATTATTTCCATTATTTCTTTAAAAGAAATCCTGAGCCAGAAATACTTGTTTTAACTGGAAACTTAATAACCTTGTGTGTACAGTTTAAAAACCATTAAAATTGTTTAAAAATAGAAGTTGACCCAAGTCTGAAAAGAACACAGTTTTATATTTTGGGTGGTTCAGTCTGGGTAGGCGTCATGCAGTCAACTAGCCAACCTTCAAAAATGCCCTGTGATTCACAAGTATCAGTTTTGATATCATGTTGTTTCTCAGTGTGTGTTGTCACTTAACTGTACATCATATAATACATTTACAATTTACACAGCTTCATACATTTTTATGTAAAATTTGGTCGCAGTCACACTAAAGCCTGAATCTGGAGATTTTCCAGAGGGTAAAGCTACAGGGCAGATGAAGTGTCGTCTTGTTGCATAGCCCTACTTGAAGTCAACAGTCTGCAGCAACAACACAGCTCTTTATTGTACCTGTGAATTCACAAACAGGTAGCCTCACCTACAAACTTTCACACAATACTGCTCTCAGAGGAAAGAGATAAGGAAACCCATGACACTTGGGGATATATGGCAGGGATGAAATGTCTTCTGAACGCATGAAGAGGCGAGTGGTTCTGAATATGGACTGTTTTGTTGATAAGAAATAAAAGAATGGCACTTTTCTCCACTCAGAGACCATTTCTACCAACTAGCTGGCAGTATATTTGAAAGAGAAAGGCAAATTCTTACCACACATCCTTAAAAGTACAGACACAATTTCTTTTGACAAGTACAAGACCCTGGCATGCACTACATTGCTTACTTTGGATCTCAGGTTCTGACTCACCTACAACAAGATTCAGTACAAAACTTTTTTTTTTTTTGCATTCTGTTCATTTTACCAGATCCAAACTTTGTTCTTTATACGTTTTACATACTTACATCCTATATTCAAGTCCATCTAACAGGATACATCTTGGAAAACGAGGCACTTAGTATTCAGCCACATAACTTCATAAAAGAGATTTCTTGTCCCTATTTGCACTCTAAAATTTATATGTGGTACAATTTACAAGAAAAAGCTTATCATGATGAACTTAACCCTTAACCTGTTCTCTCCCATCTGGTGTTAACTTTTGTCTTTCTGTTAAAATGGCAGAACAATAATTTGCTTTGCTAATGACTGTCCTGGTCAGACTTCGGTGATAATCCCAAAGTGATGGCTGATAAAAAATGGCTGAAAAAAAAAAAAAGAGGAAAATATTTTGGTGATAGCATCAATTTGATCAAGTTAAAATGGACCATATGAACATGATGAAACATATAAAAATAAAACTTGTGTTGTGAGCAGCCATATTAATAGCAGGAACGAGGCATTCAGATCAGTCTGAAGCTAAGTAACTAGCTTCACATTGGAGATTTTGGCTTTTGTCTTCTGCTTCAACACTGATTTTACTGGCAAAGGCAAAATACTTAAGGGTCTTCACTTGTGCTATAATTTCAGTGCAAGTAAAGGGGGTAGAAAAAGTGATCAGTGTTTTTTTTCTTAAAGACTTTGTTGTATAAAAAAGAAGAGTAGGACTACTAATCTGGAATGATTTCTGATCCCCGTTTACAGCACGTTCCACTGGCTCTTTATCCATTTTTTTCTTTTGGATAAATCCTCTGTCTTCGTATCAGCTCATTGGACCTGACACAAGCGCTCAACAACACTGATAAGCTTTACCGTTTTTTGGCTTTGGCTAACAGCTTTCTGCCATGTTAGCACCAATCGTCTTCATCCCTCTCCCTGAGACTGCCTGTTCCTCGGCCCCTGGGCCCAGTCGCAGAGTTGACCCCGAGGGTGAAGTGGTACCCATTGGGCACCGGCCCCGCCCGGCCCTGCATGGCGGGCGCAGTGACAGGTGTGGCTGCAGTTCCCTGTGAAGCTGAGGCTGTGGTGGAGGCAGTAGTTCTGGCAGAGCGTCCCCCTTCAAAACTGCTCACAGTGTCCTGGAAGTCCTCTGAATCCCCCGCCTGTTGAGAAGCAGCATGCTGCTGCCGGGTTAAATTAGGGTCCGAACCGATGCGAGTGATCGGTAACTGGGACTCTTCAAGGCCCCCAAGTAAACGATCATGCTCCGAAAGGCCACGGCTGAAGCGAGTCTGATGCCCCGTTGTAGAGGTGCTGGCACCTGATTGGAAAGGCGAGGAGTAGGCGGTCTTATAGGCCACAGCAGGGCGAGGTGTGAGGGGGGTCTGTGGGAGCTGCCTGCGACTGCGGCCTGGAGTGCTCGAACCAGAGGGAAGCGGTACAGGGGCGGATTTACCCACAGTGCTACCATGCTGGGGAAACAAATACATGAATATACAGCAAAGACAGAAAAGTCAAAAACATTTATAATGGACAGACTGGAGATTTTTTTCTATCCTGACTCAATCCTGTGATTCAAGAGCTTAATGAATCTTTCAACTCTTCCAATCCTCCTAATTAAAGTTAGAGTCAGCACTTATCTTTACGGTTAATGATTTTCTATCTTTTCAAAACTTGGACAGGATATTCAAGACAAGCCTTGAAGTCACTTTTTGACAGGTCATTTACCTGGCCCTCTCCGGGAGATGTGGACCGACTTGGACCCGCTGACTTGGCGTGACACTGCTCCCCGCTGCCGTATCGCTCACAGGAGTAGTAGCGCTGCTTCTCTCCTGCTGACGAGTGATGCCTCCTCTCATGAGGCCGACTGCGGTCACGCTCCCTCGCTCGCTCTCTGGACAGACCTTCTGCTGAAGGGTCGGTGAACGAATCTTAAAGAGGGGAAGGACAAGGGGAAACATTTTAAGTTCACTGTTTGGCTGGTAGTTAACCATCTCATCCTTTGTTTTAAATGTAGAAAAAAATTAAATAGTTATTTCAGATTTGATGGTATAGAAATGTAAAGAACACCACCCCGCTGCATGAGCTGTATTAGTGAATTACACTACTTTTGTTCTCTTACAAAGAATGTGAATATTAGCAATATATTCACACATTTAACCATTAACGGGTTAATGTCCAGACATATTGTGCACTTAATATGGGGGGTAAGGGTATTTGGTGACTAGGCTAAAAGGACCTGTCCTACAGCAACTTAAGTCCAAATCTTAAAGGTAATCTATTAGCCAAGGCCACAAACATTTTTAAATAACAATTCTGCACCATGGTTTATGATTTAAGGGGTACTATGCAGTTTTCATAATTATATTGGGATACAAATAATCATGGTTTAATAATTCTGTGGTATGATGTGTTTTTAAGGCTTTAAAGGAGTAAAGTAAAGCACTGTAGTAAAATGCATTTTTTCAGCCCTGGAATAATTCCAGTTTTGAAACACAGATGCCTTTTCATCATTGTGATGCGTCAGATATGCCTATAGGATGACACGCTTTTAGAAGTGAAAGTCTCCTTTACTTTTTTGCTTTTTTCCGTCTAATGGAAACAAAAAGGGTTCCTGGATGTTCAGCTATATCACCATAAAGGGTCCATAAATCCCTGTGCTGGGCCTGTCCACTGTGGCCTTTTATGTCAGCAATAAAGCCCAGCTGCTGCCCTCCAGAGTCAAAACAAAAACAACCCTGCCACCAGCTCTCAGGCTCTGATCACTCTAACATACGACTCCTGATGGTAAAGAAAGAACACAACCAGTTAGGCTTTGTGTTTGTCCCTGTTGGTGGTGCATTCATTTACAATATGACAATATTTAACAGCAAGCTCAGAAAAGTTGTCATAAAACCCAACCAATGGAAAAGCAGAAAAGCCAACATGGACAGTGATGAAAGGGTAATATGAATTTGTCTGTTTCCTGTAATTTAAGGTTTTGTGATGCTGCTCAGGTGTCTCTGAAATCTGAGATGTCTGAGCATCCTAGAGGGTAAAAACATTGATTGGTTTTTATGAATCGAAACAACAAACTTAAGAATTAACAACAGGTGAATTGTAAGGATTTGTGCTGATTTCTTTAGTATTTAAATATATATATATATATATATATATACTGTATATATACAGTTGCAATCAAAATTATTCAACCCCATTGCAAATTAGGTTTATTGGCAAAATTTACAAACTTTCGGCTCTTTGCAATGAACAAACCAAACAACAACAATTTTAAGAGCTTTAGACAATTATTATTATTATTGGTTTCTCCATATTCAACACAAAGTGCCACTTTTTAAAGAATACTGTAGTGTCAAAATTATCCAACCCCCTGAATAGAATCCCTCATAAAAGCACACATTTGCAAATTGAGTGTTGTTTCAAGTACACCTGATGCAACCAATCAAGGGCTCAATCAGTTCCATCAGGTGTGCCTGAAACACATGAAATACCTGGTCTGACAAGGAGTTTGTTGACAGTGACAATTGGTTGCATGAGAGAAATATGGCTAAATCAAGAGAATTGTCCAAAAAGGTATGAGAAGAAATCATTGTCTGGCACAAACAAGGAAAAGGATAGAAAAAGATAGCAAAGGCACTGAATGTTCCTAGAGATACAGTTGGAAGCATAGTTCGCAAGTTTAAAGCTACAGGAACTGTGGCTACACTACCTGGACGTGGCAGAAAGAGGAAGCTATCAATGGCTGCCATCAGATTCCTGAGAAGACAAGTGATCAAAAACCCTCGAGTGACTGCAAAAGACCTGCAGCAAGACATGGTGGCAGCAGGCACTGAGGTCTCTGTTTCCACAGTTAGGCACATACTAAACGCTGAAGGTCTCTATGCCTGAACTCCAAGACTTACACCACTACTGACCCAAAAGCACAAAAAAAGCCGGCTCCGATATGCTAAAAACCATATAAATAAGCCACAGAAGTTTTGGGATTCTATTCTGTGGAGCGATGAAACCAAAGTGGAACTTTTTGGGCCTATGGATCAGCGGTATGTCTGGAGAAGGAAGAATGAAGCATACGCTGAGAAGAACACCCTGCCTACAGTGAAGCATGGCGGGGGCTCTATGATGCTCTGGGGCTGCTTTGCTTCCTCTGGCACTGGCAACCTTCAGCGTGTAGAGGGAAAGATGGATTCAATAAAATATCAGGAAATTCTAGGAGAAAACGTCATGCCATCAGTGAGGAAGTTGAAACTTGGTCGTCGTTGGACCTTCCTACAGGACAATGATCCCAAGCATACATCAAAGTCCACCAAGGCTTGGTTTCAGAAGAAGTCCTGGAAGATTCTGGAGTGGCCATCACAGTCGCCTGACTTGAACCTCATTGAAAATCTCTGGTGGGACTTGAAGAAGGCAGTTGCAGGACCCAAGAATATTAGAGAACTGGAGCAAATCGCCCATGAGGAATGGGCTAAGATTCCTCAGGAACGCTGCCAAAGGCTGGTGTCTGGCTACGCATCACGTTTGCAGCAGGTCACAACAGCAAAAGGGTGCCCTACGTAGTACTAAAGATGCTTGTCATAAAGGGGTTGAATAATTTTGAGACTGCAGCAGGCATTAAAAGTGGCATTTTGTGTTGAACTTAGAGAAACCACTGATATTATTAGTTGTGTTGAGCTATGTAAATTGTGCTTTTTTGATTTGTTCATTGCAAGCAGCGGAAAGTTTGTAAATTTAGCCAATAAACCTAATTTGCAATGGGGTTGAATAATTTTGATTGCAACTGTATATTATCACTCCAACACAGATATATTTTTATGTAGATGACACAGTTTCCAGCTCCAGCTATATCAAGATGACAATCTGTCCTCAAACATGTTTGCATGATTTAAGAATTGTATTGAATACTCACAAAATGTTCTGTATTCTCTCTTATTCAACGCATAAGTCAATTAAGCTGGATATAAATATTTCATTTATCAGGGGTTTGCTTAGTCTTTAGATACATTTTCACCTGGAAAGACTGTCATCCACTTCTATGCGCTTAGACAAAATTAATTGTTGTAATCACAGAGATGATATAAATACCTGGATGTCTCCCCCAAGTGGCTAATTTTACTCTGAGCTTCCTCTGGTATGGATTTGTAGGTATTTCATTTGAATCTATGCATTTCACGGTTGACCTACAAAGTTCAACTTGACCTCATCCCTGGCAAACAGCCAATGAGTCTGCTGCTGCACCCTGTGAGCGTGTCAAATGAATTAAAAGGGGAATTTACTGTGTGTGTGTGTGTGTGTGTGTGTGTGTGTGTGTGTGTGTGTGTGTGTGTGTGTGTGTGTGTATGGGTGGTCAATGTATGTGAGAAGTTTGTGAAAAAGTGTGTGTGTGTGTGAAAACACAAAAGTCCTTTTTTTTGTTGGCGCAGTCCTATTGTTTGTTTTCATTTCGAAACACAGAAAAAAAGTTGTATTCCCAGTTGTATTTTGCAGCTGCAAATTTGAAGTCTGCTGACAAATCCGACATCTAGACCCCAATTTGAGAAGTCAGTCAAAATGTTGGAAATGTCAATGCAGAGGTCAAAGGAAACAAAGGCAGCAAATGGCAAAATTAAGAAAGAAGCAAATCCCCAGTAAAGCAGATTGTCCTCTGAGAGCTAACAACTCTCTCTAATCAGATGGAAAGTCTGACATGTACAAATCCAGGATGAAGCAGAGCAGAAACTCTTTCACCTTCATAACCCGATCATGGAACTTTAATTCCTCAAAGAATTTCTGCAGCTATGTCAAGACATCGAAGTGATCCTACAAAGAAAGTCTGTCCTGCTATCGCTGTCCCTCATTAAAGACCATGCCAAGTTTCTTGTGGATATTCTCCTCACTGTATAATATAAATTGAATTAATCTCTCAGCAGCCTTAAATATGTCCCATTACTGGGCATTTTCATCACCTTCAAGCTCTATGTGATGGCTAATCAAATGTTACATATCAAGATTTGATTTGTGTTGTAGAAGCAACTTTGGCAACTCCCAGCTACCAGAACAACTTCCATACTTTGGTCTGCACTGGGATTTAACCCAAGTCCGTGCAGTCTGAGCTACTGACGCCTGTAATTGTTATGCATTAATTACTGTGTTTGGCTGATCATATCAAAAATTTCACAGATCTGATTCTGAACAATGTCAGGATTTCCAGCTGTGACATAATGGTTTTTTTTGTGCCTTTATTGGACAGATAGGACAATGGATAGAGCTGGAAATCAGGCAGCTCTAATGTTTAATATTAAATACCTACAGTGTGATTAATATAATTCGATTTTATCCATCTTAAGCATGCAAGTTATTTTTGTCTTACCAACAGTGCTGGAGGGTTGAACTGAAGCAGCTCTATCCAGCGACTTCTGCTTCTTGTCTTTGTCCTTGTCCCTGCGTCGATGGCAGCGGTGGTGGTGGTGATGGTGGTGGGCTCTGTCCTGGCCCTGGAATTGGCCTGGCCCTGTTGTTGACTGGCCGATCCGGTCCAGGTTATACTCCCTCAGCCCGCCCCCATGGTGATGCTGCTGCGTCAGCGAGGATGCTGAGCGTCTTATCGGACTGAGGTCGACAATCGGCTGGGAGGGGACAAAAAGAAAAGGTAAGGGTTGCAGAAATAAGAAGAGAGAGGAGAGGGATGGCTCACTTAAACCACTTGTACTGGATTACAAGAATATCCAACACACACAAATGACACAACCAGTCGAGGGCAACCTTTGATCTTAAGATCAACCTTCTAACTGTTCTTCACCAGGCACAGATGTAAGAAAAGTTTGAGAAGAATAGACACAAAACTCGGACAGAATTTGAATACTTACTTTTTCAAAACATACATATAATTTATAGGCTAGCAGTAGAGTCTGCTAGTAAACAAAGAAGAGGTGGGGCCTAGACAAATTACCTTAATGGAATGATTTGATTTTTTAACCATTACAGAGAAGTGTAAACTTGATTAAAAATAGAAGGTTATTATTTGTATGAATTATTTTTCAATCATTATTTTTATTTTTATCTTTTTCCCTCTGGGGATTATAACTTTGATAAATACTTAAAGGTCACTTACCCCACCTTATTCTTTTTCTTTCTGACCAGCACAGCTTTCAGGGGACAAACTGATGTGATCGGGAACTAGAAACAACAGCTTAGCTACCACTACCCCCTGCTGGTGACCATCTAGATCATGGCTGATCCAAAATATATGTATGGACAGTATCTAAAACACACAACCTATTGTGCTTTAAAAATGTTTTACAATTGTCTTGAATTGCTCTATCCCAGTCAGATTCAAGGTGGTGGTGCTGTTCCTCTTGTTCCTATCCCACAGTCCACCCTGAAGCTATGACCAGCTACAATATCACAACACAGCAGAACAGATTTAGTATTTCATATTTGAGCTACGATGCAGTCTTAAAATCTTACGCTTTAGTCATAATACAAAGCAACCCCCCCCCCAAATGACTGTCAGAAGTTCTATAAATATATATAGTGAGACTTAAAATGATTAGCTTACTTTATGATTAATAAGATTTTAAGACTGAGAAAAAAATCAAATGACAGTTAAGGCTGGGTGGATTTTTGTGGTGAAAGAAGATTGTTATTTCAAAGCAGAAAAGCAGCAGTACTGTCCCTGCCTTGTTTCACAATCACGCACAAAGAAATACACACTGCTAGACTACAACACTACTCCATTATACTACATTACAACACTCAGATACACACAGTCACAATTCACCAAAGTGTAGTACCACACTGCTACAGTTAATGGCTGAAAGCAGGGCAGAGTGCTGGACTTACCCCGGATACACATAATATTTAGTAAAGGATGAAGGGTATGTTTTGAAGGCTAAGGGACGTCTTTGTTGCATGTAATGTGTAATCACATGAGATGACCAATGTTTAATGGAGATGTTGGAGTGTTACTTTATCCATGATGGGTGTGTGAACTCTGCACCAGGATGAGAGGAGAACATGGAGCCAAACACAGAAAGTAGAGAAGAAGATAAAGGGTGGAGTTGACGAGAGGAGGAAAGAAGGAGGAGGAGCAGAAGAGATTGAAAGAGGTGGCACAACAGGTGGTACATACTGCTAGGTGGGTCCCAGGGGCGTGGCGTGGGTGGCTCCGCTATCAGACAGCACACACAAGAGGGAGGTGGGCAAAACATTAGCAGTGGATACAGAAATTAGGAAAAAGGGAAAACAGAGGAGGAGAGCTGAGACTGGAACAGGCTGATGATATTCTATATTTTCTACTCATCAGTTAAAAAAGACCAAAACCAACAATGTTTCTATCGTACTAACAATGTTGTGTTTGGAGCCTAAGCTCAAAACATCTTATTCCTTTGGGCCCAACAGCTACATTTTTATCCGAAAACTGTGAGGAACACATTTTCAATTCCTACTCATCAAATATAATCACGTGATCGATGGCCCTTGTGCTTCAGAATATAACGTTCCTGGTATCCCTTTAGCATCATTTCAGCACATGCAGGGCTCTGCAGGCCGCCTAGCGATAATACATTTGTAACTAACAGTTACATTTACAAATAAAGAGCCCAAGAAATGTCCAGTTAGGCTACTATAATAAAGCTGGGTTGAGAAACAAAAAAATCCCAATTTATGGGTTTAGTTAGTATCATAGTAAAGCAAACCTGTGGTTTAATTTGTGAAAGTTTGATATAAGGCATAAAATGACTCGTTTTGGTCAAGAAAAAAATCATTGTTTGGGTTTAAATGAGAAGCCTAATAGTATTAAAATTAATGTTACTCATTTCCTAAAGAGTAAAATTCTAATCTGAGGTACAGATCATGTTGAGCTGAACATGGACATCAAACCACCACATCTGGTTGAAAGTTTCAGATGCTGTCAGTACTGATTAAAACTGTAAATGTGTAAATATTTGCAGCTGAACATAGTCCCCATTTTATCTTCAGTTGTAAAGTAGTAGAGATGTACAAACACATTGTTGGTTTCAGTCTTCCCATGGAAAATAAAGGATAACAGCAGCCTTATCCCTTCAGAGAGAGGAGGAGATCAAAATGCAACATAAACATCAGAAAAGCACATGTTAAGTGTTGTGGGGAGAGAACAAGGTGACCGGGACACAGACAGACATAAAGACAGAGACAAGGCAAACAGTGAAGCTCCACAGACATGATCAGACAGGCAGAACAATCCAGGAAACAGCAACGTGATGTACAGAAAATGTTCTTGACAATACGTCCATGTGCTGCAGGGCAGAGCATCTTAAACAACGGGAGAACAATCAACATTACAAACAGTTTAAACTCATACATCTAAAAGGATAACTGCACATAAAACTCAGCAGCAGTGAGCCTGTTGAAGGTGCGTGTTTGTATGAGATTTAAAAGAGAAAAAAGAGATTAATGTACTAAGAGTTTTTATTATTCATATCTGAGTTTAACCATTTTCATCAATTTAAATAGAATCCTGGATAATATACAGCGTATGTGTACTCCATCTAGTATCAAGATTGAGTTAAGAGTAACTATATCATTTGCATATTCTTTATCTTTGGCATAATGTTTAGCATGAACCAGAAGAACCTTTTCATAAACATTGTAAGGCAGGAGAAACAGCTAGCCTGACTGAGTCCACTGAGAGAAAACACCCCTAACCTTTCTCAAGTTTACTATTTACCACATTGTATTATGCAGGTTGTTTAGTTTATGAGTTTATTTGAATAAGGGACAGAGGGACAGTGTATTCAAAAACATTAGTCTCAGAGGAGAAAAGATACTTTGTACCAGATTTAGCTAACTAGCATATATTCACCTGTTGTCCCTGGGCAGATGATGGCAACAGTAAAATACAGATCAATCAGTCAGGGACGCACACACACACATTTCAGTCCTATTCACTACAAAATCATGTAAATAAAATCAACAGTAACTTGCTAGAACTGTTGCTATTTCGTGTAACTACTTGTTATTGTAGTCTGGGTTAATTTCTAGGAGGCGCACGCTGCACATTCAAATCAAAAACATGTGAATTATACAACTCAAAAAATGTTTCATAAATGTTCAATTTTACCGTTAAAAAAGGTTCATGTGAAGGTGGATCAACAGCACTCAGGCTGGGTTATAATACTGAGAATTAAGGCTTATTGAAACACTTTAACACAGTCTGATTTCCTTTGTGGGCTGTTTGAAACAGATGACTGGTGAAGAAGAATTCATTTTAGGTTATGATGAGTTATGCAATTTTAAAACATCAAGCATTTCTGTCTTATTTGTGAATTATTCAAAACTCGACATACAGCGGGTACTCAGCATATGACATTAGTGTTGTAGCAGCACCTGGGCAGAGGGCTAGATTATGGCTTTTTTCACAGGGTAAGTTTCTGCTAAAAAAAGTTTATGTGCCTGCCAGTTGTTCAGCGACTTTCTTAATTTATGAATCAACAGATCTGTGTTGATCACTTGTTCCATCTCTGTCCAAAATTACCTGCACAGTAAAAAAAAAAAAAAAAAGTATGCCTGGTGAGGTCGGGGTTAGCAGGATGTACTGATGTGTACTGACAGAGAGCGACTCTGCCTCATTAAGCTCACGGCTGCCTTCACAGACCTGCTTTCACTCAGCATTGCACTTTTTCAGCCCCATTCCAGTCTCTACAAGCCCAGTCACCTGTTCACTGCCCAAATTAACCACGTTATATTTTGTGTTTCTAACATTGCAGCAGCCATTTGTTCTAATTACATCAAGAAAAACATAAGGTATCCTCAGTGTGTTCATTTAAAAAAAAAAAATGCATTAATAGTGATCCTATAAAACAGGATGTATGGCTTCATGAGCTGTGGAGAGCTTACATAGTACTCAGCATTGAGGCGGGGCAGTGAAGCTGCTCTGCTGTGACCTTCCAGGCTCGGATATCCTTCTGAGTCTGAAATGTTCTCCACCTGTTTCAGTTCAACCAGTTCCTGAAAGAAGAAGAAGTAGCCGTATGTATGTATGTATGGAGGAAACATAGATAAAACAGTCTGGGCAGAAAGTTAAATTGTGAAATAATTTGAGTCTTCTTGGTGTCTGTGTACCTGAGGTCTGGTTGAGTATGGCACATCCTCTGACTGGCCTCTCTGTAGTTTCCTCCGGCCTTTAGGCCTCTGTGCAGCCTGAGAAACATCACCAGACTGGGAGTGTTTTATCCCACTCCTCTGGTTCAGTCTGCATGCAAACACACAAGAGCTCTGACTGTAAAAGTGGCAGCTCATACAAATAGAAAAATACATATGAGACTTTCTTAGAAATAACCAAGGACTGTGTGGGATTGCATAACAAGATTTCCACACACCAGCCTTCCTATCTGTTCACTACATTGACACCCTGCTGTCACTCTAAGAACCCTGCAGCAGTTCAGACTCCTCACTGGTGAAATGAAATCCCCAGTGAAGTCAGAAAAGCAGAGTCACTGCACATCTTCCATTGGAGTCTGACCCACATTTTCAGACAACAACCTAGTCACCCCATCTTAAACCGCTTACTACCTTAGTTCTTAAAATAAAACACATCGAAGCACTGATGCGCTAATAATTAACACTTTTTTTGTTGTTCGTTTGGACAGGATGGATTTGGAAGGAAATCATCATCAGGACATTTAGTTCTCGCTTCTTATGTTTACCAAGTATTGAAATGAATCATTATGTTGGAACTCATGCTTAAATTGTGTTGTGTACAGTCATGTTAAAACTGAAAGATGTACTGGACTGATGAGAAAATACTTGAGTGGTACATAGTGTAAAATTAAACTATTAGAAAGTATAATCAATGTAACAGAAATGCATATCAGAGGGTGGTGTTGTGTTCAGTGTCCAGTAACATTTCTGAGGCTTTTTTTACCATGAAACATTGAATCCTGTATTTCGTACTGTAATAACACATTATATTCCTGAAATATAATGGTGTATATTGCCTTGATCTTGAAGTTATTTTAACATCAATGAAACAAGAGCGTCACCCTTGTAAATACATTTCCACTGTGTTTCTACTGTATAGGAAAGAGAAAACAGTGTCTCACATTGTGTCCCTTGTTGAAGAGGTGGTGGCAGTGGTCGCAGTGAGGGACGTTGAAGGAAGAGCCACTAGCTTCACTTCTGGCTCCAGCTGGGTGGTGGGGGGTTGTTTGGGGCTGGAAACTGGAGGTTCAACTTCCAGTATGTGAGTGAGTGGCAGCACAGGACGGAATAATGCCCCCAGTTTACTCTGCAGGGGGTTAAAAAAAAGTCAAAACAATGACACTTACAATGACACTGAATGTATGAACACTAAACAGAACCAGGACATGTTAGATGACAGTTGGTTTAACGTGCTTGTATTTAATCAATAAATTAAAAACATTATCAAAAACACACAAAATCCTGAACGAGAAACAATGACATGGAAACCCATGTTAAAATAGCTGAGTTAAAGAAATATGAAGCGTTTCATAAATAAAGTCAATCTGGCCAATACACAGCTTGAGTCAGAAAATTGATCAAAGATGCTTAAACAACATTGTTTGTCCATTAACTGAACTCATTTGAGCATTCAAAACCTTAAGACAGGACTAGAATAATTAGCTGTGGACTTTGAAATAAATCATCTGATACATGTTTCTCATGCACAAATCATGGTCTGTCACCCAGCTCAAGAAAATCATTTTATGGACTTCATGATCCCAACTACATGAAACACATTTCCTGCTCAAATGACCCACAACCCAGTGTACCTGAGGTCCCCCTGAAGTGTTCTGCTGCTGGAGTCTTTTGGCACGGTTCTGTTTGTAGTAGTCAAAGATCATCAGAGCTGCGTAGACTTTCCCCACAGTCAGCTCATTGTCTGGAGGAGGAGAGAAGAGGATGAGAGACGAGTCCTCAATGCGGCCAGTAGAGGGCACCAGATGAACAACAAAGTTCTTATCAGAGACTTGCTTTGTCATGTTTATCAGAAAGTTTGAGAAGTGCCATATTGTACGAAACTATCTCCCTCTCTAGTCATTTTAAGGTTTATTATTTCTTGCACATTATAGAATTGCAAACTAGTTGTTTGGATTTGTTTGGCTTATGCTTATAAAGGAATTGTTAAGGTAAACAAATCCAGGGTGAACTTGTGTCTGATCACCATAAAGATTTTTTGTTCCATTTTGGCTCTTTATACATCATTACATAAATCAATCCTTAATTAATGCTTTAACCTCCATGACTTCTCTATAGCTGCAGACCCTTTACTGAAAGTAAAGTCTTTATTTCTGCTTAATGGTAATAAAAAATGGGATTATCTACCTTAATTTAAAAAGTGTAAATGTTTCTCTAAGGATTGTGAAACTACCATCTCATGAGGCCCAAACTCAGCAAAGCATATTACGATTATTATGCAACAACTTCATTATGGTGAATATAGAATATGAGAAATGTTCATGTATTTCTGTACTAAAACATCTTGTTTCAAGTTAAAAAATCTAACAGAAGGATCTTCCTCCCCTCATTTTTTCTCATGTCTGACTCTAAAACTCCTCCACACAATGATAAGACTATGCAGAGCCATATGAAGAACAAAAAGGAAAGATACAAGAAGAAGTCGTGCAAACATTCAGGTCTCAGCAGAGCTCAATTAAAACTCTGGCTCACATTTAGGAGGTGTCACCAGCAGGTCAACAGTCTTCTGCGGCAGGCTTGGCCACACTCGTTTTATCTCTCTCTTCAGGTCAGCATCGCACAAATGCTGTGCCAGGACCCCTGGAGACACGCCCACAAAAAAGATGTCACATCAAATCTGCACCACAGCGATCACTGCCTTTCACATTAACATCTGAGCTGTCAGTCTGGCTGCAGGGGGACTCTGGATTTTGTAGTTTAAGTCTCTTACCAGATGCCAGTTTGATCTCCAGGGCTGTGCGGATCAGAGCCATCAGTGTGGAGGTGAAGTGCACAGTGCTGTCTTCAGCAATGGGCATATTCATTCTCACCAACCGCTGAGAGGGAAGAATCAAAGAGCAGGGGCCGTGAACCAGGAACATACAATCAACAACTTAGTGAAAGGTGGCTTTGTTAGCGAAATGACAACTAGTCAAATGTTAGGATAGTGGTTTAATAAAAGGCAATGACTTTCTAAAACCCAAAGATATTCAACTATTACGATAATTAAACAGAAAACAACTTAAATTCCTCACATCTGAATAGCAGGAGCCTGCAACGGTGGATTTTTTTAAAGCTAACAACACTACACAGATGTTTGCAGTGAGTGAGTCAGTGCTGCTTATGTCTGGTGCTGTTGCTATGAGACTACTTCAAATCCATCACAAGCAGAACACACTTCTGCTAAAAGCTAAACATGACCGACTTGTGAATCTAAGCATTGTGAGGGTTGTTAACTCTTTGAAGGTGTTTAGCTCTCACGCACTACAGCTTCATCTAGAAATAATGAACATAAGAAGTGAGGAGAAAATAGAGGCTGCTGCTGGACAGGAATGAGTGTCTGACAGAAAACATCCATCAACTTGTTAAGTCCATCTTTTAGGTACTCAAAGATAAATTGGTTGCTTGCTGTAATATTACCTCTCCAATACTGCCAGTAGAGCTATCTTAGTGTAATAGAACTACACTGTTAAAGAGGGGATACATATAGATAAATATGGATAGAGTTAATGTCATCTGAAGCCATTATGAGGCTTCATGACTTTAAGTTGTAAGACAAATAAAGTGGGTAACATAGGAGGTGTTTGCCAGCTTGGTGTTGGTGTCTGGTCCCAGTAAACAAACCTACACTATAGCACATGCAAGTATGAGCTTCAGACTTGAGGAAAATACTGTAGGGTGAAAAGACCTTCATTTGAGAAGGTCATAAAATTAAACTGGAATAAATGGCGGTGGACGTGGGAGGGTTGCTCTGGCAGAATACATGTACAAGTATTTTTAAGACCCCACTATGATGAAGACCTTTGAAAAATACTATAATACTATACGATCACTTTGTAGCCGTTACAGAATGAAGGAAAATAACAACAGCTACCAATACTACCTTAACTTAAAGAATGGGAGAGCACCAACACAATGATTGAATTCTGTCTATTATTTTAGACAGACTTAATCAAGCGAAACATTCAAAACATTTGAAGGTTCTGTTTTCTCCAATGTGAGGATTTTCTGTTGTTTTTTAATATACAGTATATCAATATCTAGTATCAATTAAATATCTTTGGTTTTTGGACAGTTTTCTGACAAAACAAGCTATTTCAAATGTTACTTTGAACTTTTATTTACTTTCTTCAAACATTTGTAGGTTGACTATTTAACTTTAAAAATAAATCCTGACATTTACTGTCAGGCCATCCTTGCAGTCGACTGTTTAGTAATAATTATAAAAAACTATTGGAACATTAATTACCAGGCAGCATAGGCTCCATCTTTAATAAATCAATCAATATTTATATAATAGCATAAGACAAAAGCTAAAGTGATCAAAATGAATTCACACATAAAAGGCCATGTAGATCATTGCTGCAGTGACATTATTCATAAACACATGCATGTTTGAATTAGCAGAGGGATGGCAGAACAAAGGAAAAGAGTATGAATTCAGAAGCACGAGTTTCAAGCATCAGTGACGTTTGTTAGAAAAAGAAAACTGAATGTGATGGTTCCCTTTTTCTTCAAGACAAGATAAGGAAAAGAGAAGTTGTATTCACTCTGGGAGCAAAACAATACAGAGTGAGAGATGGAGAGATGAGACGCAGTGAACACGAGCAGAAGGAAGAGAAGGAGGAGGAGCGGTGGGGGGGAGGTAAGTTCCTCAACTGGAAAGCATCGACGAGTGTAAAGCCTTGCATCTTTTCTAATAAAGAGGGAGCAGGGGAAGCTGCAGACCTGAACACCAGACAAATACAGAAACACATCATCAAAAAGCACATTATGCAAAAGACACATGCTTGCAGACAAAGACTTAACACACACTCGTGGATAAGTACACACAGTGATGTGAGAGGAAGGAGAGGAGAGGAAGCAAATCCCTAGAGAGGGTGAAAGAAAGATCATTCAAAGGAGTGAGTGAAGCTTAGCCTGAAGACAGAACATTCAAATGGATATGAGACGGTAAGAGGGTCAGCGGGGACTATCAGGGGAAGGTATGTTCATACTAAGGGAGGTTAACAAGGAGTTTCATCAATTAAAATAAAGTGGGATAGTGAATAACAGGAACATAGAGATGTGGAAAAAGTGCTCTGCTGCTCTTTGAAGTGTCTTTGTTTGTCTTCCTTCTCTGTCGTTTCACAGAACATGGAGTTATATTTGGAGATGTGACCACGTCAGACCTAGACATTTACAACTGGGGCAGGGCTGCTTTAAATGTGATTCATTTGGACAGCTTTGCTTGCGCTGGAAATGCTCCCATTAAGTCTGCATCTTTCTCCGCTAAAGGTAAGCAGCTGGCTCAGGGACGGCCTGAGGAGTGTTGGGTTGTGTTCTCGTCTTACACTTCACAAGTTTACAAGTCTTGCACATAACCGTGGGATAAATGAGCCAGGTACTCCAGCCAAAAGCTGATGAGAAGATGTGTTTTTAAAATGTGCCATGGAGGAGGTCCTGATTAGCAGCTAAACCCAGATACCCTGAACTAAATATCTTGTTCCACTGCCGAATCTGACACCTAATATCACAGATATCTGAGATATTAGGTGTCAGATTTCATGCTTTCTTAACAAGTTAGTTAGTGCCACTAAAAAGCAGAAGGATGACAAATTAGATAATTAGCAAACCATCTTTACATTTGCATCTTCAATTTTTTGTCGAGTTTCTACTCCATGCTAAAAATTATTCCAATATTTATTCTCTTTAAGTTTGTTTTTGGACTCTTTTTTACTCTCTCACTTGCACCTTTATAATTCTATTATCTCTGTCTGGGTTTCAATTACAAAGTGTCCCTGACACAAACCTCAGGGGACCAAGAATAAGATATTCTGTGCTGAACCTCGATACAGTGGTGCTTAATGCAAATATCAGAATGATAACATACTCATATTGACAATATTTATACTCTGATATAATGTTTTTTAGGTTCAGGGCAATACAAAAAACAGAGAAGAAGGTACGCCAGCACACCTTGTATATTTCCTGGTGTCATATTTCAAAGATGATTGTGGTAGATGTATTTCACCTTTGGGACATTTTCAATGTTTGACCACACCTGCCATAAGAGTACCTATCAGCCTATTGGGGGTTTGATTTATTCATATATAGGTGTGACCACCTTTGTTCAACAATTATCACCTGAAGAAGACCCTCTGGTCTATTACACATCAGTACTTACGCTGTATGCACGGTTAGATGCTAAATTGCAGGAAACACAAACTAAATCTGAGGCTGATGGGAATATCAGTTCAAAGGTCACAATGGTAGTTCTGCAAATAGTTGCTTAGCGACTGAAGTATTGGACCATGTCAAATCTTGACCTTATGACGGCACTATGTCCTGAGTTTAAAATGAGCAAATACAAAGTCAAGACATCACACCCTGAACCATATATGTCAACCCGAGCGTGATGCTCGATTAACTCTCTCCAAAGTCAGGAGCATTAATCCTGAGAGGCGTTAATGTCTGTATAGAATTTAAATGCATTTATCCAGACCATCCCTAATGTTTTGCCTGCACTGTAGTAGTAAAAACAAGTTTTTAACATATCTATATGGTTCCATCTCGAAAGGTGTCCACATTCTGCCCACTGTCATAAAACATGATTCTGGTTTAAAAGAACTTTGTGCACTCTTCCTTTGAGCTGGAAGGTTTATTATACATTCACTATATGAACCACTGATGATAGAGTGGTGATGGGCAGTCTGTTGAAACACACGACTTTTACCCCAAAGGTTTGTAATTAGTATTTGCAGTCCTAAAGTTCGTATGGCAGGCTATGAATTTACTTAGCTGCTAGAAGTTCCACTATATTCCTGAGCTAGTCACTGACTTTCTCCATCAATCATTTGCTTCTGGACTGGACAGTCTTCAAACAGCTGTCTGCTGCAGCAGTAGAGGGTTTATTAGATCCCTGAGTGGGCTGTACAACCAAAACTATCAACAGCTGTGATTTTGATTCCCTTTGTTACTCAGGTGACTTTTGTTTATGTCACATGTTGTGGTATGTTTTAGCGCTGATATGTGGTCGCTTGTCATTGTTGCAAAGCCCCCCAGTAGATGACAAAATGTACAACAAACCCTCACATACACAACAGTCAGAGTTTCACAGATAAACAGAAAGAACAACACAACAGCAGGAAAGATGTTACCAACTGTGACACAATGACAAAAGCCTGAAGATGTTTGACAGGTGGAAGCAGGGAACCAGCAGTGAGGAGAACAGAGGAGGAAGGAGTCTTTCTACCTTATAGGCCACTCGAGGGGGACATTTCTTTCCCAAACCTAGCGGAGGGGACATGTCACGAAGCATCTCGTACATGTCGCGGTAATTCATGCGGCCGCTTCCCGGGGGAAAAGATGGTAGGAGGCCATGAGGAAGGAATGAAGATTTCCCAGATGGAGGAGGTTTGGTGGTAAAGGGATGTGGGAAGTTACATCAAAACGGAAAGTGGTCAAATCCAAAAAGAGAGAATGGGAAGAGAGGAAAACACAGAAATCCTAGTTAATAAGATTTCCAGGATATCATGGTCTGGAATGCCATCCTTGTTGGATTAAAGGATCCAGGGATGGATCCCAGGGGAGGAAACAGGGGGAGGGGGCTCCGGAGGATTCCCTGTGCAGAGATGCTGGGTGGAGGGATCCTGGTGGAAGATAGGCATTAGGGAATGAGAGAGCATTTTATGTTTCAGGCTTACTCCATTGCAAATCGTTCCCTTGAGAAAAAGATATCAATCTCCTGTTGGCTCGGAAAGAGGCTCTGAAGAGTTTGTAACTTGACTGTAACTTAACTAATATTCAAAATATTTAATATTTCTATCACAATTTGATGGGTGGGGCGACAAATATCCTTGCCATTATGACAGGCGCCCCATGGACAGAGGCTCGAGTCCTCATCGGAGCAGCTGTGGGTTCCACAAAAACCACACTGTAATCTGCACTGTCATCACATTTATCTATTTTACTCTCCTTTGTAACATTTAATTTTAGTTTGATTAGTTTTGACTAGTTTTATTGTGGTTTTTATTTGTTGTATTGTGGTTCTATATTCTTTTACTGTGTTTTTATTGCTCATAATTTCTTAATATCTTTTAGTGCTTTTCGTTTCCCATTTAGCATTTTGAATTGCCTCTCCATTTGAAGTGCATGCTTTCCCTAAGCAGCAGCTACAAACCTTTCAGAGACACTTTCAGAGGGGGTGGGGGGGTTATCACAGTCAAGAGAGAGATTTACAGGTGAGTATTCCTTTAAGATGCCCTCTTGTTTCTGCATGCTAAGAGATGTTAGCCGTAACCAAAGTGGAAACAAAGCACACAATGCTCAGTCCATGAATAGAAGCAGGAGAATATCTAAGACATGGCATCTGATGCCTTTTGTTGGATCCTCACTTGTGGCATTGTTTCCTACACTCGCCATGGTTACCTGCCAGCTGGTTAGTAGAGGATCGATGCGTGTTTGTATGCATGTGTGGTGGGGTCATTGTCTACCACCGCAGGGAATGAAAACAGACATTTTACAGTCCAAAACCATCACGGTCCCCTTTGGAAACAAAAAGGACTGTGTGGGAGTGCAAACCTTATAAGCCACCCTGTTAGGGCACTTCTTCCCCAGGCCCAGGGGGGGCGAGATAAAACGCAACAATTTGTACATGTCCTGATAGCAAATCCTCCCGCTGAAAAAGACAAGACATGTTCAACAGGTTAGGCTACAGATCCTTCAAAACATTTATTATCTATTCATAATCTGATAACAGTTAGCTGGAAATTAGCATATAGGTACAAATATTCAAGAAGTACCAGTATACACATCAAAGTTCACTCAGGGCTTATATTCAGTTTGTACCATTCAGGATTTGGGGAATATTTAAGTCAACAGTCATTCTTTTTTTTTTTAAATTATAAACAAATAATGTTTGAAGATCCTCTTGAACCATTGAGTTGCATGCAGAGCTAAAAAAAAATGTTTACAAGCCCTCTTCAAATCTTGAGAATACAATTCATTCAAGAATATTAAATCATGGACTTCCCATTGCTTTACAGTATTTGATCTCGCTGACTGAATTTAATAATTACTCCACTTGTGAGTAACAAATCCAAACAAGACCATTAACGACAAGATTGGCTAGTTCTTTAAAGTTGTTTTTAAAGCCGGACCTGCTGTGTCAGGGTACAAGATACACAGTTGTTGGTGTAATCTCCAGACAAGGTTTCCTGACGCTCTGAACGAGACATTGCAAGAACTTCGCGAGACTTGGCCAGAACCTGAAGTCAGGTCCTCTTTCAAGGACACTCAAAAGTTCACTCAATTTTTCTTGCGACTGTAAAAAGAGCTGGCCAATTGGAGGAACATGGGAAAGAGAAATAAGGAGGATTTTGAGCTACGCATCTTAAAATGCTACTCCAGGTGTCCAGGACTGACATCATAAATGGTGAAAGTGAGTATTAAAATTGTCTGAAGAGGAAACGATGAGCTCTAAATATATACTTGCTGCAACCTGAAAAAAAAGAAAGAATTAAAGCAGGAGAAAATATGCTCTTTATTTCTGAAAGCACTTCCCTGCAGCGATTAATTTAAATTCAAGGATATAAATAATGATTCCTCCCGGGTAATGTCTGCCAGGAACTAGAAATTTCATATTTCTCATCGTGCACCTTTCCTGGAGTCCTAACTCACTGACTGGCTCCCGCAAAGCCTTCTTTCAAACTTAATGAGGCTTGCATAATCTGAGACAGATTACGCCTCACTCTGGCTCTCTCAGAATTTGTATAGTGATTCAGTTCAGTTAAACTGTGTCAGTTTAAGGAGCAGATCGGGCGCTGTCATAGACTTGTATCCCCCAATCGACATATTCGAAAGGTTTCTCTTCACGGACCGCCAAGTGGAATGTTGGATTTACATGCATCAGTCCGACTGACACGGGGCTCGACCACAGCATAAGCCAACTGTGGGCTCCGGTTTAATGTCATTCACCCAAATTCAACGCTGAAATGGGATTTTCCATCACAGAGTCATCCAGCTGGAGCTCAGAAACCCATTGGAGTTTCCTGTTTCCCAATCCACCTCTCTACGAAAAACTAATCCCTTCCTCATTGACATGGAAAGTGGATGACATCCCGGGGGCCAAAACTGTAGCTGCTGTAAGGTCAAAGAACAGCAGGAACACTTACCAGGCAGAAGGGTCGTACTCTGCCCACACGCGGATGAATTCATCAAGGTGATGAGGCCCCAGGATGGAGGCATCTCTGGTCAGATACTCAAAGTTGTCCATGATGACAGCAACAAAGAGGTTCAACATCTAGTGAATGAAAACAAAAGTTAGTAGATTAAATCAACATTTAGTAATAATATATGTTCATAGAACAACAACAAAAATATAAAAAATAAATGTTCCAAAAAATATACTTTCTTTAGATTTAAATAATAGTCAATAGTCAAAATGATTTAGGTGACGAAATGTTTGTAGATCTATTTAAAGGAAAATCTTGGTAGTTTTTGTTAACTTAATGATTTTAAACTCAATTTCCTTTGTAACAGCATTTACTATGATGCTGTTGTTTGCAACAATTGATGCTCATTTATTGAGATAACTGCATTTATTAAATAAATAAATAGTATTAGAATAGAGGTGAGACTTTTCAAACACATTTCAAAATTAAACATTTCCCCTTTACTTGAAGGATTCAGTCACATGAACAGCAGCCCCTTCACCCTTTTCTTTCCATGTATTCTCTCTGTAGCAGGCAGAATCATCTAAGCAGTGCTTTTTTTTTTTTTTTTTACTAAAAACTGCAAACAGGGTTTCATTAAACCAGAATGGAGCAAACTGTGAGCCTAAGTCAATCTCAATTATACAAGACCAGCAGGTGAATCTGTGTCAGTCAGGAAGATAAGACTCTGCAGAGCAATATCACATTGAAAGGCGTGCAGAGCAGATATCATCACTATTAAAAATGTGAGGTTATTTATATATTTTGTATTTTCTTCATTTTTCCCTGATCATGTCATATTTCTGTATTTCTTCTGGGTCTTACTATTTTAAACTGTATTTAATATTTTCACATTTGATCTTCTCTGTGATTGTTAATGGTTTGTTTGAGTTATCTTGAAATTTTCTATTGTAATCTTTATTTTATTTTTTTACCTTTTGTCATGATGCTTTTGATGTCTTGTGTGAAACACTTTGATTTGTCTTGTTGCTGAAATGTGCTATAGAAATAAACCTGACTTGACCAGAAAAACTGACAACCTTTTGATTCTCGTAGGCTTCAATTCAGGGCATCATGTACTGTATACAAGTGTGAAGAACTTCAAGAAAGTACAAGCGAGTAGGTGCTGGGCTACATGCAGACCTAGGAGACTTCATAGGTCAAGTCAAGTGAGTGTGTGTGTGTCAGTGAGAACAAAGTATGAGAACATCATCGTACTGACCAGGAAGGAGCAGAGGAAGATGAAGGAGACAAAGTAGAAGTAGGCAAAGTCACTACCACACTCTTTCCCACAGTTCCTGAGAGCGAATCACACCGTCGGTTACTCAGACATGCTAACATGATCTCATGCCACGCCTCTCCTGTTGCACTCCTGAAACACACAGATCACAAGTACACACACAAATACACGCACATGAACCTAAACTGAATGTTAACACTGCTAAACATAATCAGAAACAAGGCTTAGTGTCATCAGTAGGCATTTGATTGTTTTTATATTATTATATAAAATTATCCCTTTATTATTCCCTTTATATTATATATGATTATTATAGATAGGATTACCTGAAGAGAAGGGTCAAGGCCTGGAAAAAGGTCTGGAAGTTGTTGTGGTGATAAATTGCTGTGTCCTCATTCAGCTCAATGTTTCCAAACACCTGAGGCAGCAGGAGAGCAGCCGGTGTTTATCACATGCCAAAACTCAAATTTACTACTCTACTCTGCTCTATTGTTATAACGGACTAATGGACTTAACGTGGTACAGAGACAACAACATAGTTCTGCAAAACCCTCAAGTACACAGTTTAACACGGGCTGTGGCTCAGTCTGTAAGGACTTGGGTTAGGAACCAGAGGGTTGCCGATTTAAGTCCAAATCTCGAGTCTGGTAGCTGGAGAGGTGCCTAAGCACTGCTGAGGAGCGCTTAAGCAAGGCACTGAACCCCCTCACAGCTCAGGAGTGCTCGCTGTGTGCAGTCCCCCCCCCCCCCCCTCACTCTGACATCTCTCCATTAGTGCATGTCCATAGGGTCCTGTTTGTGCATGTGTGTGTATTTCAGCCTATGTGTGTGAAGCATGACTCAATAACAGAGTGTAAAAATGTCATTTCCCCTCAGGGGATCAATAAAGTATATCTAATTCTATACCAGTGTCTTATAAAGCCCTGATACTATGTTTTCTAATTCAGCTTTTATAATCTTAGCACATTTTTGCTTTACTAAGCTAGAAACCTTTGTTCACAAGAAATAGTTCCATATTTTTCAAGGGATGCAAGTTATATATCATAATCAATTATATTATCCTGTAACAGTTGTTTCAGTGGATGTTGGTATCAAACCTCCTGTCTGATATGCAGCTATATAATGACTTTCATTGTTATACAGCACGGTGAAGAAAAAGATACTCGAGTCAAAGAGAAGAAGAGCCAGATGATTTGTCCCACAGAACAAACTCTTCACTCACTGTGACATCATGTTGCTTTTGTTGTTGTTATTTTTACAGTTATAAAGAAAAACAGCATGATATCAACTTGAATTGCTTTTCCCACAAATCCATCTGCCTTTTTTTACAGTTGTGCATAATTTTCAGGCTATAAAAAAGCATAACATGCATCCCTATTTTCTCTGTACACATGTGAAGTGGGTAGGGCTCTGCAGGAAATTGTCATGTCACATATGTGCACCAATCAGCATTTAGCAACTTTTGACCATGAATCTGATGACTGCTGTTTGTTTATTAAGCAAACAGCTGCTCTGTTGTTTGTGTGTAGAATGTTATCTCTGTTATAATCACCCAGTTTATGTATATGATTCATCCTGTTTTTATCTTCAACTCCAAGCCAATTACATTTTCATTGATTTTAAATGAAATAAAATGTAGAGAAAGACCAGAAATGAAACACGTATGGATCTTGTGATAACCTACTGTGAGCAAAGTAAAAAAAAAAACAGAGGTCTCTTTTGAAATATTTATCTGCCCCTCAGCATGTCCCTCCTGCTGGCCTATCAACACTGGCTGCTGGACCCAGGAGACCTTTGACAGCAGTCAAATATGTATGTATCAAACATCTTGACCCTATAGAACAACAGCAAGCACTTATTCAGCCCAATGAAATACCTGTATGATACTATGCAACCAGAGGCAATAGCCAAGCAATGCATGTATGGTTTGCAAAGAAATACATGAGAAATATTTTCACTGGGATTTTTCCAGAGGTGGCAATGTTCAAGGCAGAGTTTTGTATCATAATTGAGGACACATCACAGAACAGGTTAGCATAGCTTGGACATGAGTCTGGTTCTGCTCGAGGTTTCTGCAACGTTTTTCCTTGTCACTGTAACTTTGCTAAATGTTGCTATGTGCTGTGCTCATGATGGATAAATGTTTGGTCTTTGTAGATAATATAACAAAGAGAAAGGTCTTTAACCTGCTCTTTTGTAAATTGTATTGAGATAATATTTGTAATGAATTGCTACGATTCAGAAAAAGATTGATTGACTGACGTTATAATGTTATGTGTGTTGTTGAAAAATGTTTTGTGTTACACTGATGTTTCACCCATCTTACTTTTATTGTCCTCCACCTTATGACTCTCCACTGGAGCAATAACAGTTCCTATGCACTGCTGATAGTTGAGTCCCTTCATTCACCATCACAACATCAACGCACACAAACCTTAAAACTAGATCCTGAAGTATGTATTAAATCAAAAATAGACTTTGAATCATGAATCCAGAATCGTTTTGATTCTAAAATAGATCCTGAATCGAATAGTGACCCCAAGAACCCGAATATCCTCGAATTGTGAGACACCCAAAGATTCCCAGCCCTACTTAAAACACAAATGATAAGATGAAATATGATCATTCTGATGCACACTTTGTGATCATAGATAATGTTGTGTGACACAACCATTGTGACACCAGTGTACTTATAATAACAGTGTAGTAGACACACTAACAAGTGTAAAACAAAACTTTAAAAAGAAGAGTAAAAAGACTGTCAACTCAGCACCATCATTAGTTCATTTAGTGTACTTGTAAAGGTTAAAACAGTCATGTTCAGGGGTACCATGAGAGTGTACAGCAGGAACTTTGGGTTAACCATTCACACTTTGGGGGATCACCTGTCACTAACTGAATAAAACATGGTCATGTGACAACTCACCTGCATTCCAATGATGGCATAAATGAAGAAGAGCATTGCAATGAGCAGGCAGACGTAAGGCAAAGCCTGAAAGCAGAGACATAAACAAAAACAGATCATGTTAGACCAGGTTTCTGCACATGAACTCCTCTCTGTTATACACAGACACTTACATATACCCTAACAAATCCCATTCTCCACACAAGACTAGCTCCCTTGTAAGATTTTACAGTCTTATTTAAAAAGTCCAGAAGCCAACCTGACCTGCAGGATCGATTCTTTTAACCAGCTATTTATATCACTGAGGGGAGGAGGAGAAAATATGTTGTAATTAAATAGCCACCTTTTAACACTCTGCAGATACTGTCCATTTTCATTGGACTTAAAAGCTCTCACCACTGACATTAAACCAGCCATAAATTCCCTCGGCTGCAGCCCAGTGCTCCGCATTTAACTCAACTCGTCCTGGGGGATTTAGAGAGCAAAGCAGCATTGTGTGAAAATCTGAACTGCTGTCTGCCGAGAGCTGCTATGTTTAGTTTAAACAGAAGAAGACTGCAGTGGGTCTCTGCCTGCTTTTTGCTTTTTTATTCCACTGTTTGACTTTTAATCAAACTATAAATCCACCTTTTTGGAATATTTTGCGCTGAATCTCTATTGAATAAATCAACACCTGCACCTCTGAAAACAAATAATTTCATTCATTTCTCCAAAACACTTTTTGTTTGTTGCCAGTGTTAATTAATTATTTTGAAGCTTGCTATGTTAATCAAGTTTAGTTTTATGTTTTACACACACGTTCTGGGGCAAATTGTGGCCACTGTGTGTCCAAACTTACCTTGAAGGACTGAACAAAGGTCCACAGCAGGATGCGGATGGTGTAGCCTTGCCGCAGCAGCTTGATCAGCCGCGCAGCTCTGAAAAGCCTCAGGAAACTCAGGTTGATCATCTTGTCCTGGGAGAGAAAATAGATTCTGTGAGACATCTGAATAAAACAGAGTTAATAGGATTGTTGAAAAAAAAATACCTGACACAATCTTAAAGGCTTACTATGCGACTACAGAGCAGATTTTCAGATAAAACCAAAAGCCCTCTTCCAAGCCCCCAGAACAGAAAGGTCTGGATTATTCGCATTAAAGTCTGTGTTTTCTTTTCACTTTAAAGTTTATCATTTAAATATAGGAATATATAAATATGTAGCTATTCATGCTGTTGCACTCATCTTAGAACAAGGCTTTGTTGCCATTTAAAGACCCTACATTGGCTCTTCATGCAACTTAATTACACTCATGAAAATGTTTCTTTGCAGCGTTAAATTTAACCTTAGCTTTTATGCAGCTAAAATAGCTCATGATGATTGTGTCACAGTTTAATAGGTATTATATCATATCACATAGAGGATTCAGTAGGTGGACTTTGGGAGAGAAGAAAAGACACTGACGGGGGGATTGACATAATCAGCAGCAGACAAGAAAAGCCACTTACCGTCTAGAGGTGTCACATGTGACAGAAGGGGCAGAGTGAGGGCACAGGCGCCAGCAGAGACACAGCAGAAGATGGAAAGAGAAAAAAAAATCAACAGGGGAGGAAAGCCAGAGAGACAAGAGAAAGTAAAAGAAAGCTAATGATCGCAGGAAAAGAAAGTCACACAAATAGAAAGACTCGACTTTGCAACACAGAAAGCGACAATAATGAGCCCCAGCCATCGACACGGTCACATCCTTTTGTCCTTTTCTCAGCTCAGTTGATTTGACAGAGGAAGCTAAACGCTTCTAACTTTAAATGTAGTCTGGCTCCACTTGTAACCCTGTGGCTGCCTTTGGTTTGTGCATTGTTTTCAGTTTTTTTCTCTCAGATTGTTTGCTAAGATTTTGAGTGGACATCAGAGATCTGTGAGAGAGCAGCATGGCATGACATCAACAATTAAATGTTCAAAGACTTCCTCCTGATGAACTAGCATTGAACATTTTCTGACTTTGGGTAGATTACACAAAAAAAAACATTAAATGATCAAAAAAAGTAAACATTTCTAGCAAACCTACACAGTAGTAACTTATATTACTATATACTTTTTTATCAAAAGCATTACATTTGACATTAAGTCCTCATCAAATGAAAAGCAGTCCTGTGTGACATGTGCGTTTATCTGCCAAAAATATTTCAATAAAGCCTTATCCGAGTGTTTTTCCATTAAACCAACTGTATTTTCTCTTCCTGTAAAATGTTTCAAACGTCTGATGTCTCATCCTGACACTCAGGGGCGTTTACTCATTTTTTTCGACCAAAAAGAATCTTAGTCGAAGCTAATGATTCAATAAAAGTCATCCTAAGGGAATGTCCCACTTCTATCTTGTGATTGGTTCTATCCCATTGAAGGTGGGAATAAATACGACACAGCAGTTTGATACTCTCAAAGTTCTGTTTCATGTGGACTTTAAGTCAATTTGCAATAATGGTGCATTGAGTTAGGGTGCAACAAGTATAACAGCTGATGCACTAAAGCCTGATATTCATGTAGTGACACATTACATACAGTCATGCTGGTACAGCATGGCTCTTACCTTAACCTCTGTGACCACGATGTCTGTGATGCTTCCAAGTACAGTCACAAAGTCAAACACATTCCAGGCGGCTTTCAGGTAGTTCTAAAAGACAAAGACGATTGCAGAGTTTTTGTGTTGCTTTTGTTTTCTATGCATATGTCTTCTTGACGTGACTTCGCATTGGTAAAGTATTTGCGGAGCATTTGATGTAGTTGTTTCAGCTTTTGCAGCACTTCTCTCCCCGTTTTGAACATGTTTTTGAATATGCATTTTTCTGAGTTTGCCACACATTTTTCTGAATGCAAATCGTTTCAACCACTGCAGGTCATTGCCCGGGTCGTCGATTTATCTGTAGTTCAAACCCACAGCTTTTTATCCTTCTTACGGTTCAATTATATATATAAAAACGTAAACAGTCATTAAATCACTATAGTGCTATTCAAATTAAATATCTTTGTAAAAAACAAGTTAACAGAAACTATACAGGAGCTAATCTGTGCAAACATTTCTGTAAATTTCAATTGAGCATTTGGTTTGATTTCAAGACATTTGATATGTTGAACTGCAGGTGGACACAAGAAACATTCCCATAGTTTGTAGACAAAATGCTTAAAAAAGGAAAAGAGACAACCAAAACACACCCTCGGGCACATGAATCTATATGTGCATAAACACTGCAGATGCACAAATGCTGACACACTCCCGCGCATAAACTAAATGCTAAGCTGCTGTGTACAGTCTGGATCTCTCCTCAGACTGGTCAATCATCCAGCTCCTGAGGCCCTACAGCTGCAGACTGAAGAGATGCAGCAGCCGAGTGTTTATACCAGCAGATGCGAGCCCATCCGTCTGGGCTTAACAGCTAAACAGGTGGAGGCAAGTGGTGTGTGAGAAAAGCCATTTAATAAATGGGCCTGGTAAATGGAACGGAGCCAGAGATGAAATGCCTCGCTGCAGGCCAGACGGCACGGCACCATGTTGGGGGAGATTTATTCCTCCTGAGCACTCTTCCATTCTTCCCTTCTTTTTGTTACTTGTCTCCCATCCTTGAGCTTCAATTTTAGACTTTAACTCTTCTTTTTGACTGCTTTGTGGCGTGCCATACATTCTCTGCTGTACACTTTTATGTACCTTTACACAAATTAAATCAATAGACATCCTTCCACATTTGTCTAAATCTGACCATGTATTGGCCTCTTGGTTAGAAACACCCTGTAAGTCTGTAAATCCTGACACTAAAAAACAAGAAAAGTCTTGTTAAACATTTACAAGCACATCTTTGAATTAATTGAGCACTACACGCACACTGAGAGCAGTGTGATGAGGAAGCCGCTGTCAGTCTGATTTTTTTTCTGTCTGGTCTGCATATCAAAGGAAAGATTTCCCCTCATTGGTGTAAACAGAATCAATACAACAGTGAATAATTGTCTGGCGTTTGCAGAGTACAGAGCAGCATATGGTCTTCACAGCTCACCAGTGGACCGAAGGCAATAATTTTGAGGATGCACTCCAGTGTGAAGAGGGCTGTGAAGAGGATGTTCAAGTATTTCAGCATGGACTCGTACAGGTCTGGAGCTCCGTAGAACTGAAGACAGAAGGCAAGAACAACACTGCATATTAATAAGGTGAAAGATATTCAAAATAAACACAATATGTATGAAATAGCTGCATTCTTTAGCCCATTTATTTCACATTTAGCCTCTTCCATCACGAGTAGATGTGATAGCTTTACCATACTGAACACTTAAGAGTGTAAATGCAGCTAAAAAGCAAGGCCGGCAGGTTATATTTGATTGCTCGTATGAGCTCCAGCACGATGGCTAAAAGGTGAACAGGCTTTTGTAAATCCCAGTTATGCATATATTTTTATCCTCTCCACTGCCGATAGGAACTGTGAGTTCCCACAGTGGAAATGGCAGGTGATTAAGAACAAAATGATCCGTCCTTGTATGTGTTCACGTAACACCTCAGATGCAATAACATGGTACTATAACTTCTGGCCACTGAAAGCAGAACTGAACTCACTGAACAGCATCCGTGTAGACACAGGAAGAAGGAACTTTTTTCATGTATTAAGTATTAAATTAAATGGAAGTCTAGCCATGTCGCTCTTGGTAATTAATGGTTTATTTTTGTTTCATTACACTGCTCTGACATTAAGTCTGAAACATAGACTGTATAAATAATGGACATAGCCTTTAGTTTGGCATACTGGCTGCTGCGATATTGTTTTTCTGGAGACAGGAGGGATCATATTAGGACTAGAGGTTGGTGATGGAGAATTATCAAAGCTATACAATCTCCACTCCTGGCTAATTCATTAGCTGCAGAATGACCTATAATAATAAACTTTCAGACCAGAGTTTATTAATCACATTAAAGATGTTAAGAGAGCTCATTGAACAGCAAACTTACCAACCGCTCACCCAAATCTCAGCGGGGGATGAACGACACATAATGAGTAACTTAAAATAACACGTCTCCTCGTCACTACTGTCTCTCTGTGGGGAACAGCCAACAATAATCCTGACTCATGTGCACTGGCTGACAGATAAATAACTGTACGATGAACACAGAATGAGCTAACAAGCCAGGTATAGTGACCACAGTAAACCTGAGAAAATATCAAAACAAATAAGTTTCATTCCACTTGAAAACTGAGGCACATAATTATGTACGGCCAGTCAGTGCTGTCAAAGCAAGTCTTGGCTTAAATTATGTTATGTTCCTCATTAAATGTATACAAAAGCTTTTCAACTGTCTCTTTTCATACATTGTGGTCAGAATCTGACAAGGATAGTAACGTTAGAAATATTGAATTATGTAAATGAAACCACAAAGAGCTCTTCTCTGGCACCAGCTGGCATTATTACACAAACAGGCAGTTTAATAACTCAGAGATTTTCTCTTTGGAGCACATGAATACAGGAACACGAGCACTCTTCTCTGATAGCAGAAAGCACTGTTTGGTGACACAGGGGCGTGCTGGTGGTGGTGATTCACTTTTAATTGTCAATCATGTCTCAAGGCTAGACCAGTGTTGTCTCCGGAATTGTATCTCTGCCTTGAGATCTAAATTATTTATTGGTGCAGATTCATGGGAGAAGCTTCTGAAATTGGCTTTAATCTTTCAGCAGTTTGCTGTTAGTGAGAACTGCAGAAGTATCACTGAGCAAAAAAAGCTTTTCTTTTTTTCTCTTGCTGTGAGAGGATATGGCACTTTGCCTCATTAGCAGGAAGAATCACTGACCTTCATCATCAGCACGACTGTGTTGAGGGCGATTAGAGTCATAATGGCGTACTCAAAGGGAGGCGACACCACAAACTTCCACATCTTGTACTGGAAGGACTGCTTGTTCTCTGGCATGTATCTCGTTAGCGGCTTAGCGTTGATGGCAAAGTCAATACAAGCCCTCTGTGAGACGAAAAGACAAAACAAAAACAGACATTGCATGGATCCTCTCTGTTACAACTTCACACCTTTTCATCATAATGGGGAGAAAAGGGCTGGAGAAAGACAGCTGGCTCGCCACAAGAGGATTTTCTTAATATTGAAAGATGAGACTACAAATTGGAGCTCTCTGATATCTAGCCAATACTTTACAAAATCGGCTCGATTCTAACTAAGTCTCTATGAAGTGGAGATGAAGAGAGTTGAGAAAACACCCCCCCTCGTCTTCTTTTTAAGAACTTTGTTCTGTCATGTTGGATCTAATGTGTCTTGCAGTGATGTTACAAAGTGGATCAGCATGTGCTATGCTTACTTAATGAATTAAACATTTGTGATAACAGAGACACTTTCAGAAACTAGTGTCCCTGCAGAAACAATCAGTATGTGTTATTGTAGCATGGAGGGGAGGGGGTCATTATTTTTCAGGAGAAAAAACAAGAAATTGCATCATTTTCACCACTCTCAAACCTCATTTTTCTCCAGGCTGCACTCCGACATGGCCTTGTCTCCCTGCTCCTGGAAGGTGATGATGATTAAAGCCACAAAAATGTTGACAAAGAAGAAGGGGAACACCACGAAGTAGACCACATAGAAGATTGAGGTCTCCATGCGGAAGCCTGGGTTGGGGCCCTGGTCCTCGTAGGTGGCGTCCACAGAGTGCTTCAGGACCCTTTTTGGAGGAAAAGAAGGCTTTGTCACTATTTAAACAAATCCCCAAACATATATAGCATATAATAATCATTTTTATTTCCCTGAGATGACTTCTATCCAAAGAGAATTGTCAAATCAGCACACCTCTAACTTTCTACAATTCTACAATAATTCTACAATTCACTTAGCAGACGCTTTTATCCAAAGCGACGTACATCAGAGAGTAAGTACAACACAAGCAAGGATCTAGAAAAAAAGAGAACAATGTCAGTAAGAGGAAACGATCAGCTTTGAGTCTGATTGGACACACAGGTGCTGACAGGAAGTGACCAGAGGCAAAGCACAACATTGAGGGCAGTTCTTGAGCGCTCTAATCAGTATAGAAACCATCTTATAAGTCATCGTTATCAAACAAAAACCATCGTCATTACCATCATCATCATCAATAATATGGAGACCATCATCATTAAGTTAGTAGGTATTCATGAAAGAGCTGGGTCTTTAGCTTTTTCTTAAAGGTGCAGAGGGACTCTGCAGATCCAATGGAGTTTGGAAGTTCATTTCACCACCGGGGGGCGACAAAGGAGAAGAGTCTAGTCAGCGTCTTAGGACCCTGTTGTGAAGGTTGGATCAGACGCCTTTCATTGGCAGAGCGTAGTGGGCGGGAGGGAGTGTAGACCTGGAGAAGAACTTTACCCAAGGCAACTCCCCAAAATAACTCCAATAAGTCTTGGAATTATAAAAGCAGAATTTATGAAATATCAATGAAATCATCCCTCTTAATACAGCCATTCATCCTTCCTGTTGATGTTTTCTTTTAATCCTCACACTCAACATCTGTGACTAAACAAATCAATGAGTCACAAACAGGAGCCTTGTGATCCTTAAACAGAGGACGTTTAAGACTCACAAGGCTCCCAGGTTACGACAGGTGTCTCCATTGAGTTCATGAGTGCTTATGAGTCTCCTGCTGTGAATAAGCATTGTACTATAGGTTCAATGCACAGTCACATGACTGACTTTGTAATCACACAGTCCCACTCAGTTGCTTAATAGGATGGGGAAAAAAATGCAGCATGCAAGACATAAACTTGGAAATCTAAACACTCTCTGCCATCCACCACTGGACCTAGGCCTCGGTTTGATATCCAGAGGCAGGCTTGAAAACAGAGTATGATTAGAAGGACTCCATAATCATAAATTCTCATTGAGTCTGAGAGGAGCTGGTATCAAGCATGTCCAGTCACATCAGCTCCTATCATCCCTCACAATCACTGTATTTTGTGCTTTTTTATTTTTTGTTGAGTACCCTCGGTTCAGTATCTTGTTTGTTTACATTTTATCTTGCCTTAATTGCGATGCATGTCACTAATGGCAGAAAAGGGAAAGAGTTGTAATATTGGTCATCATGGTTATGGAGAGAGGAGAGTAGAAATCCTAACGTATCCCAAATCATAAACTGTCATTTGTATGTAAAATGCGTTTGAGAGTATTCCCGTGTTATTATTGTGCTGTCACTATCTGTTTAGGACAGTGTGATTTTAGATGACTATGACAAGCTCAGTACATTTTACAATTCGCTTTCATCTTTAAGTAAGAATGGGGAATGAAAACAGCAGACAGCCATCAGCTGTTCCTGACAGAGTTGATGATGATGATAAATTTGCAGAGCTGCTTTAGCTCAGGCACAGAGTGGGACACTGAAGCCAGCTATGCAATGAGCCTTGATTACATCTTTAGAGAAGCCACAGTAATTAAACCTGGGAGAAATAAGCTGTTAGTGTTAGTGGCCTCAAGGTGTGCTAAATGTGTTTTAAGAACAATAATCATTAGATCCATCATTTAACAATAAGTCAATACTAGACCAATGGCACACAACACAACTTGAACATTTTAATATTGTCCAATAGAACAACTCTGCCATGAATCATTCTTTAACTAAGTTAGTCCAACAGAAAGCCGGACAACTGTCTGTGGATGAAGGCAACCAAAGGTTCACTCTAGTTTTGGAACAAGCTTAATCTGTTATGTCTGCAGACGCCGCTTTGTCCGCAGACGTCATATTTGCCTGTTTGAAACACGTCCAATCACTGAATTGTATCCACTCCTAAACTCACCTGAGTGCTGTCATTGGCTGGGGGAAACATCCAGAGTCAATCAAAACAACACAAAACCTCAAAATCCAGGCAGAGGACAGTTCCTCTGCAGACAGTCACCACCACACATGTACGGTGGCCCATAAGTTATGAGTGAGCAGCATTACTCTTGCATAAGTCTATATTTAAACTTGAAGGAAAAAGCAACTGACTCCGCCTTTAAAGTGTCATTAAATGTGTGAAAAAGTGACTTACATCGGCCAGCCTTCTCCAGTGGAGACAGTGAAGAGGGTTAGGAAGGCCCAGAGAACGTTGTCGTAGTGAAACTCATATTTCTTCCACTCTCTGGGCTTAGCTGCCACGTCATCCTTGTCGTAGTCCAGAAACTGACCCCTAAGGAGACAGGAGGAGACACAGAAACAAGTGAAAGGACGATTTATGATGTAAAGTCTCAATCAGAAGTCATATCTTTGATATCAGACATTAATATAGAGCTTCATGACAAAGACATTGAGGCTGAAGAAGGCTTTGCTTGGATGGTGTACCTGCAGTCTTTCTCCAGAGCTTTGGACTCGTCTGTGCAGTAGAAGAATTTGCCCTTAAAGAGCTGTACAGCGATAACAGCAAAGATGAACATGAAAAGCATGTAGACGATGAGGATGTTCAGAACATTCTTCAGAGAGTTCACAACACAGTCGAACACCGCCTGGAAAATATCAACACACACAAAAAAAGAGTCTGATTTAATTTGAACTTATATTTTCAAATCGGTACCAACACTATTTTAAAACAGAAATATATTTGATGGGTAGAGAAATTCATACAGAACAAATCATGTTGTGAATTTCATTAAATGACCATTAATGCAGCAGTTAATCTTTCCTTTACTTTATATCACAGGAAGCCAAGTTTGAGCTTCCCTTACAGCAGACCTACATTGAACTGGGATGAACAAAACTACTGAAAAAAGTTGTAATATATAAAACCAGATTAGAATGAAGAATACTTGTGCATAAAAAACTTGTTAAATTTGTGTCTTTCTTTTTTTACTTAAAGTTAAACTCCTGCACACTTTTTTTTTTTACATCACTTTATTGATATATAATAATGTAAACCAAAATCCAAGCTTTAATTCTAGCTGCAGATTGAAGGTTTTGAGAAGGGCTGCCAGTAGCCTAGTGGTTAGTTTATGCGCCCCATGTATGGATGATGTCGTCCTCCAAGTGGATGGCCCAGGTTTGCATCCAACCTGTGTCTCCTTTTCTCTACAATAAAGGCAAAAAAGTGTAACATTTTATTTTAGGCAATGTTACACAGCCCTAATTCAGACTTTAAATTACGCCTCAAATCTGCTTCAAATTACACCCAAACTCCGCCCTGTTTGAAGCCAGATCCATCATGTCCTGCAAACAAGCACCAAACACACACCTTTACATAACCTCCGCCAATGTGTGTCCCTGCCTGTCACTTTCTCTCCGGCCATTTTCCTCTGTCAGCCTGTGCTACGATCTCTGTGAGATGAAGTGCCTTGTCTATCCATACTGACATGTTTGCCATCCATCCAATGAATATTCTGCTGCATGAGTGATCTCTATCGAGGCTTTTGTCTCCAGAGTAAGGACTGAGCATATTTCTCTCTTCCTCTACCAACCTGTCCATCAAGCTGCCCTGTCCAAGTGTCTCTCTGCCAGCTCTGATCTGTCTCAATCATCTCACTTTCATTTCTCCAATCACTTTTTGTCAGTTCCATTAATATTGGATGATCAGGTGGCGTCACGCATCAGAGAGAAGCTGTCATTTGTACATCTGAGGAAACCTTACAGGTTCTTACCTTGAAAGAGGGTCACAATCAATCAATTGATCACTCAATCAATTTAAACAGACACAAAATTGACACACTTTACACAGAACTTGAGATTCAGACTTTAACGTCAAGCCGATATGTAGAATTTTGAAATTTCAAACTTTAACACCCTCCAGTTGTATCACAGGGACTCAGATTTCCTCATATTATTTATACATGCTCATATTTAGGGGTACTGTTGTTACATTTTTAGCTATTAGCTTAATGATAAAGCACACTGATGCTGGTGATTATAGTGACCAAATGTATAAAGACTGGCATTTGTAAATGGTTTGACTACTCTTTAATAAGATAAGATAATCCTTTATTTATCCCACAATGGGGAAATTTACAATATTACAATATTCGCCCTGAACCTTGAGAGGCCAATTCTGACGGAGTCAAACTACTGGGACTTCATGTGATGACATTTAAAACATTATTTCTAAGTAGATAACCTTCTGATACTGAGCTACTCCTGCCTCACATGTACCCCTATCATTGATTTCACCCTTTTAACCATCTTTTTATTTTCATTTCAGTGACAAATCTGAAACTGTGACCCAGATAAACATATTTTATGTAAAAAGGAAAATAATAAAGAAATTCAAACACCTGTCAGAATAGGACTTTACCTCTCACAAATCAAAAACACTGCAGCTAAGATGGGTCATATTTGATTGAATGCTAATCGGGCTGCTATAACAGAGGGTAGAAGGCAGATTTTAGTCATAGCTTACCTAGTTCATAGAAGACCAAATAGTTGCACGTAAAGTTATTAGTTTCATCAAAATGAAAGGTTCAAAGTAACTTGACTCTAAAATTACTCAATCATTCAAGATACAGAGGAACAACGGCACACAGTCATCTTTGTGGCCATTGGATTACAGTACCTTTAGCTTGGGCAGTCGTTTAATGGTCTTAAGTGGTCGCAGGACTCGGAGGACCCTCAGGGACTTGATCGTGTTGATGTCCTTGCCTTTGGTCCCTCTGTGTAGATTGAGATATTCAGTTAGTCTGGTAACGTAGTGGAACCAGTGACAAGCACTGATTCGAGTTCACCAGGTGAATTGCACAGGAATTCCTGTTTCAGTTAGTTAGGAACATGCATGAGAGGTCACTGTGTCATTCTACAGAAACATAGAGCAAGTGAGTGAGGGAAATTCATTTATAACCTGGTTGTGTTAACTAACAGCATTAAGAGGTTACAAATTATGCTGATTCAGATTTGGAGGTTTTATACTTTGGTCTTCAGGTTCAAAACTTATTATGCACTAAAAGTACTTAAACTAAGGTGCATTGCATTTTCCCTTTCTTTCTTCTCTATCAGTCTTTCTTATATTTATCTCCTTCTCATTTCTTGTTTCTTCTGTCCTTGTTTCTTACCAATTTCTGTACTTCTTTCTCTCTGTATATGTCTTCTTTTACTTTCTCTTATACTTCTATCTTTCTTCCTTTCATTCTGAAGATCCCTCTTTTCTTTTTTTTCTTTTTCTGCTTTCAGTCCTTATTTCTGTGTAGTCCACCTTTCATATATGCTATTTCTGTCTTTCCTGCATGTTGACCTTCAGTCTTCTATCACTTTCATTTGATGCCTTCTTGCTTTTTCTCCTTTATTTCTTTCTTAGTTTCTGGTCCTCTTTTTTCCCCTCCAACGTTCTTTCTCTCCTCTTTTCTTTCCCTCCTCTTTAGCTCAACATATCACAAAGAGGCTCTTAATATGCAGCCACACAAAATGTGCATGTTGTTTCTGTAGAATAACAACCAAACATTAAGTAATGTTTAGAGTAAATGCACAAAGAAAAGGCCCCCGGCTGAGGAAGCAGCTTCTTTGCAGGAACCACTGCCGTCAATCACTACAGCCGCTGCAGGTTTTCTTAAGTGAACACAGTGGGAGTGGGTGTGGGGGTTTAAAAACTAGCTGTTATGCTAATAACATACAGCTGAGCCATCATTCACTCAGAGACTGACATTGGCCAAGGGCAGTGGGAGAGGGATTTTTCATGAATCAGTCACACATACACACAATGTAGCTGTCACTCTAAATAAGAAGTGTTTCTCTTTTGGGTCTTCTTGACTTCAGACAAAATCAGAGAAGTAGAAAGCAAGTGTGTGTATGTATCGATGTGTGTGTGCAATCGTATCATGTGTAGAGGGAAAGGAGAAGGACACAAGCTTTATAGTGGGAAAAGAGAGTCTAAAAGTCCTGTTAGTGGCCCCCAGAGTCCCCCTGCTTCTAACACCAGCATGAAGTAGATTACAAACCAGCAAATGTTTTCATCCCCGGGGAACAACTCCTGGGGCGAAAAGGAAGCTATTTACTCAAGCTAACATTTGTAAAAGACATAAAAGCAACCAAAGGCCATACAACCAAGATAATAGCTTCTATCCAATATGTTTGAGTTCACTTATCTTCATGGAGGAACCAAGTATGTCTGCTTGACAGCATACAAACGGCGCTTCAACAAGTACATGTAAGGACCTTTGTTCTTTAAGCTGACAGAATCAACAGTTAGCAAACAGTCAGCTTGTAATGTAGCCCAGATGTTATTAGACTATTCAACTAAGACCTTTGCAATACTTCCAAAATATAGAAACCCAGCTGTGCAAGCTGTGCTGTTCTGATTTGAATTGAGAAGAGGAGCTACCTGCACACTAGCCACATAAATGTCCACAGGCTAAGATAAACACAAAAATAGTCTCTTAAATTAAGACATGAGGGGTCAAAACTAAAGATTTTCAAATTTCCCTCCAGTACTGACCCTTGCACGACTCAATTTTTTGATGTTCCAACTAGGCTCAGTTTCACCCGAGGTATCTGTTTTGTATTAAACCACTTCTGCTCATCTGCTGGTTTAGTGTTGAACAAATAAAAAACTAATGAGTCTGAGTAACATTTGGTCTGTTTCTCCATGATTGGCACCAAATAATAAGGTACATATCAGCTCCATTCCAGGACCTGATTCAAAAACATGGAGACCTGTATTAATCATGATATAATTCTGTTGCTCCTTAACAGCTGCTCCAATCTGTTCCCTATGTGTCTTCTTTGTTTTAATGTCCGCAAACACACAGGCATGCACTCTTACATCTGATCCCGGTGTTAGTGCTGCAAAGGCTCTACTGTCATTTCAAAACCTTGCTAGCCATTTGAGGGCATGCAGTGACTTAGGGACAGGTGAAAACAAACGTTTCAAGTTGTAGCTGTTTGCCCTGGTGAAAAACATATCTGAGAAAAGAATGATGTCATCTTTATGTGATTTTAAAGTTAGAGATGAGGACAGGAGAGCATGGTTCCATATATTGTAGGCTCAGTGTCCTTTCTCCATCTTGATAAAAAACTCTATTCTACAAACACGGCATGCAGCTGTCATGCTCAGATGCCTCGGTAATCCTGGCATGCAATCTGCAAAGTCAATGCCAGCCCTTGTATTCAAGGACCTCCACACATTGAGACGGCATGAACAGACTCCCAATAGCTTTCAGAAGCACCGTGGGCAGGGAACATGTAATGTGTGTGTGTCTGGGTACGAGGTCGTGTGTTTAGATTAGCACTGATTGCTAGGCTGACAGGCAGATGAGATCATCCTAATAATACATCATGACTCTGGTTCTCTCAGAAGCTCCCTCCTGAGAGCGAGGAGCATTTCCTGTTTAGGGATGCAAGACATGACGTCCAATCAGGAGCACTTTACCTCCCCATTTAAACAGGATGCACGAGGCTCCTTCGATCTAGTAGTTAGAGGTTTTCATTTCAATACATGATTTTGAACAATGTTTGAATGTCAAGAAACATGAAGGTTCAATACAACTCTGTTTTCAAAAAAGTGGGGATGCATCAAATGTAAATAAATACAGAATGTGAGGATTTAAAAATTAAATGAAAACTCCATATTCAATTGCACACAATTCAACATAATGACATTGAAACTTAAGGAAAATAAAATCCTTATTTTTTAAATTAATGCCAGTAACACATTTTTAAAAGTTATTTGACAACAGTAACACTCCTCAAACCAGCAGCCCAACTTTCTTGGAAACAGAGTTTCTGTCCTGGTATTTTATTTCAAATACTGAAACTCTGGGATTAAATCTGATTTTACAAAATATGTCTTGCAGTACAAGCACTTTAGATGACCTCATATGTGTTTTATTAAGTGTTTAAGAAGACTAGTGCACCATCTGAAGCTCTTTTTTTTCCATTATGTGGAACATTTTTCTGAGTTGTCAACATTGTAAGAGAATTGTTAAATGCACTGATCAGCACTTTCTTTGAGCTGTTTCGAAGAAAAAAATCCAATCCCAGTATGAGATTAAAAAATATCAATAGTTCAAAGGCATGTAGACATCAGAAGGGATTTAAATTTCAGACCTTTAAAAACAAACATTAAAAATGACTTTCTCTTGGGCGTGCTGGTGGCGCAGTGGTAGGGCGCGTGTCCCATGTATTGAGACTCTCGTCTCGAGCGGTAGGCCCGGGCTCGCTTCCACCCGTGGCCCCTTTCCGCATGTCATTCCCCGCTCTCTCTCCCTGGTTTCTGACTCTATCCACTGTCCTCTCTCTGCATTAAAGGCACGAAAAGCCCAAAATAAATCTTAAAAAAATACACTTGACTGCACATGGGCCGTAAGGAACACCCGCTTTAAAGTCAAATAACCACTTAATGTGACTTCAGATGAAAAGCTGTAATCCTTTATCGATTTCCCTTTAAATTTAGTGTGTGAAGAAGGAGAGATGTAGAAGAAGGGCGAGGAGGTGATTACATTGCAGACTATAATCCCTGAGCGATTTGACCAATTAAAAACCCTTTAGCCAAGATTAAAAAAGATTAACATGAAGGTGAAGTAATCGACAAAGCTTTGATACAACTACAGATATTGAGTGCAGGTACTAGTGTGTGTCAGAGCTGTGTGAGTGTTGATCTTCTGAAAGCTATGTGGTAGATTCTTTTCAGTGGGATGTCCCAATATTGGAGCAAGGAGAAACTTGTCTAAAGGATCGGAGAGGTAGGAGGGAGGTAAGTCATGGTTGAATTCTAAGAACCTTGTGATGGAGGTTGATTAAGTTGAAGGGATGAAGGGGGACAAAGTTTATTCTGAAGGAGTTTGATAGGAAGGTTCTTTGTTTCACATGTGAGGAAAACGGGTAGGGGGTGGGGGGGATGTCAGTAAACAAAAGATAGATAGGGACAGTTCCCACCTGGCCACACTTTGTTGCGATCTGATGAAAAAAAGCAATGATAAGCATAACAAACACACACAATACACAAATAGCAACCACAGAAATACTGCAAGCATACAAAGGAGGCAACATTTTTTTGGCTGATATAACTCCAGCACAAGGATTTAGTGACAAACAAAAACACTTAAAGTAATCAACCTGTGAAAGAGCAAAGCCAAAGACAAGTCTGGTAAATATTAGCACGGTTATGTGGACAGAACATTTCAATAAATCACTTTTAAATCAAGAGGATAAACATGACACCACAGACAGCATTTCAACATGGAGACAAACAGATGAAGGGACACTGCTGATGAGAACTATCAGCTGCATGACTACGTTCACACAGCAGCTGAGAAACTCTGAACAAATTGTATGATCTGCTTTTCAAATAGGTAAGAATTAACACAAAAAATTGACTTACAGTTTTCAGTTGTGCCTCTTCAACACAGTATTTGGTCATATTTCTGTTGCACACTGCAATGACTGAAGCCTTGGCATCACTTTTTAAAAGCTTTCCTCACTCTGATTGTTTTTTCCATTTAGGCTTGTCTCAGACCTCTGAACTTTTATAAAGTTAACCTATTAACATCTACTATAAAGGTGTTAATGAGTCCAATGGTTCTGGGGAGTATCTGGAAAAGGCTCCAATTAGCTTCATGTCAAGGATTATACTGTTAAGTGTAATTTTTATTTATTGTATTTGCAGGTCGGGTCTTATTAGGGTTTCTTAAAATAGTCAGGTTTGGGGCGAATAAAAGTCAAATTGTGTATGTAGGCTATGCTATTCATGATGCATACACTAAAGGTATTAACATTAAAATAATAAAGGATGTAATGAGCTGTTGCAAAGAAAAACTATTAAAGCGTAATTTCAGTGCATAGAGTCTCATTTCTTCAATCAAAGTGATTTATTTAACAGTATTTACTGTTCCAATCAACCATAACTTTTAAAAAAGGTGTTTACTGGGGAGCAAGTTATTCAAGTTATTTTAATCCAGTTATTGTATCCATTTGTTATACTGACTTAGAATGAGTCACCAATAAGAGCAGGTGAGAGTAGAAATTGGTCTCCAAACTGTTTTGGGTCTTCAAACTGATGGATTTGCTTTTGAAAATAAACAATAAATTCAAAGTCTGTCTTTGATTTTTAGTTTCCTATTCAACCCGTTTGATCCAAAATCTACGTTGTAAGAAAGCAAAGTAATCCATCTACAGTGTGAATGCAGCGTGCTACATGTTCGGATGCATGAGAGCTATGGTAGGAGGGACAAACTGCTGAACAGGAAGTGAACTTTAGTGGGATGGATGAAGAGGAGGAGGTTTAATCCAATAACCTCTGCATGAATGATCCTCAAAAGTCTACCTATATCAGGACAGGCACAGAGATGAGGCTGTGGGAGCTACATACAATGACACTATTCTAATCCTAAAAAAAGCTGATTTATGCTTATAAATTAGCAGTGCATTAGTGGTTTGTAAGATACTGGCAGAATGCTGAAAGCTACATCCATATTATACCTTCAGCCTTTCAGTCTGAACATGAGAAAGAGATGCTTTATGTTAACTCTGCATTAGCATCATTTTGATTGTGTGCTCATCACAGACAGCAGCACTTAGATCCTTTGTTTTCATTAAATACCTTTCACTTCAATGAAAGCTTGAACCTTTGAAACTGTTGTCTCTGCTGCCTGCACAGTTTTTGCTTTGCATTATGTATATTGTTCCTACTTATACACATAAAGTATATCTGATAAATAGAGAACAGGTAATTGCACTTATGCAAGCCCCAACACAGATGAAACACAAACACAGTTACATAACACAAACAGAGAAAATGCCAGTATCTTTGATCGTGACTGTGGTGGAGATGATAAGAATAGCAAATAACAAAATATGACATTTGTTCAAACATTTAGCTGAGAGAGGGACTGCTGCAGACACGTCTCCAAACTCTGAAAATGGCACTGGCTAAGATGGACAGGAAGGGAAGCCGGAGACACAAACAAACAAAGATGAGCACAGATACACAGGCAGGAGGAGAGAGAGCAGGCTTTACCCCATAAGGCTCCTGAAAGCAATCCAAGCACGAAAACAAAGCAGGGCAGGGGAAAAGTGCAAAAGAGAGGAGACAGAGGCAGTGTCAGCAACAGATAAAAGACAGATAAATGTCAGCTGGCCAACAAAGAAGAAATCAGAGCGACAGAAAAGAGTACAAGGAGAAATACACAGGAGACAAACTGTGGACTTTCAGGACAGAGTCGCTTTGTGAAATAACTGACAGAAATCACTTTCTTTGTCAAGAGACCTAAAATGCAAGTCTGGAAATTTAGGGGCTCATTAGCTGACTTCATACTTTGGCTAAGGTGTCTATTCAAATCATTAAACAAGACACTTCAAACAGTCAGTCTAATGTCTTCAGTCACACTTCCACCTCTTTTGCTACAAGTTGACACTCTACGATATAAAATACCCAATCAATGCTTTAACTGGGCCAGTCCTCATCCAAACAGAAGCAGGAGAATGTAAGATATAACATGTGATGTTTGACCTCTTTTTTAATTACTAAACAGTACCATCGCTGTATAATAAATGTAGGTGTGCTCTTGATACAAATATTGTACATTTCTGGAGAAAATGTACCAAATTACAGCTCAAAAAGAAGAGACGAAGGTGCCAAAAAAACAAGTGTAGTGCAGTTCAGCCAAAAGCTGCTGGAGCTTTTCTCTCTGAATGTGTGAAGTGGGCTTTGCAAAAGTATGATATTGCCTTTTAAAAGGTTTCAATATTCAAAATAATTAACCTAGTAGAAAGAGAACTCCCCCACTCACCGTCTGTTTTTTTAAATTGAAGACCTACAATACAGACTACATACATCTGTTTAACTTAAACATGTGAAACTTCATGATATCAATCCTGATTGTGATGGGTAGAAAAGAAATAAATGGGATCACCACAAATTGCTTACTGCCCATTAGGTTACTAACTCTGCTAGTAAGCTCTGTTATCAAACTACAGTGATACAAAAGTTTAAACTGCAGAGTTTGCAGGAGTTTTAAATATGTGTCAGCGTTTCTCCCTACCTTTACTCCTTCTTGTCTATTAAACGATTAAACTGCCAAACTGTTTATGCCCATCATCAGACTAGTAGTGACAGAGTGCAGTATTTATGTAGCAGTGAGTTTGATATAGTCATGTCAGCAAAATAACCCCAGAGTGTGAAAAGGCCAAAGAACTCAAGAGGAATAATTAGATGAACACATTGAACACAGGGGCAACCAGACCACTAACATACGCTCAACAGTGGGAAACATCGACTGCTGTTTCAACATCATGTTCTGTGGTTGAATACACCTCCTGGCAGACACTATTATTTACAGCTGTGATTTGAGGTAGCTGCCAAACTGCAGGACAAAGGAGAAGCTGACTTACGAGCAGGCGAAGGCGACCAGGGCCCCGCTGACCACAATGAAGTCCAGAATGTTCCACAGGTCACGGAAATAAGAGCCAGGGTGGAGGAGCAGTCCCAAGTCAATCATCTCGAGTCACAGGACAGATCGTAAGAGAATCATTATAAATCATCATACAAGCCGCAATCTTTTTCTTTAGGCCTCTCTCAAAGATAACTTTCCCTCTCAGCTAATTAAACATCTTAGACCCCTGGGTGTAATTTAAAGTGCTGTCCTTTTTCTGACAAAGAGCATCAGCTATCTAGGTTTTCAAAGTGAGGACCCCCAAGATCCCGAAGCAATTCTCTCAATTCTCTACAATTTAATCCATGTAACAAAAGGAAAAAAATATTACATTTGTCTCAGTTACATTTGTCTGTGCTTAAATATCTAAACACAAAAATTATATAATACAAAATAATCAAATCTAGATAGTTGGAGGTCTTCGATCTAACTTGTGTTGGATCAAATATCAAAGGTGAGGGGCCCTCTTTGTTACAAAAAAGGAAACCAACTGATTAAGGAATTTGGACACAGGGCACAGAGATATCACAGACAAAAATATAAAAACCGCTTACCCATAAAACATTGCCAGAAACATCACAGAAACATACCCACTGTTTATTGGCCTTATCAGTAAGGTATAGAATAAGAAGTAGTGGTTTGAAGTTCCAAATACTGCCGGGCATTTAGATAAACCTAATCTACATAAGTTTTGCATGTTTCAATTTCTGAAATCGTATAAGATGAAGGACTACTAAACTACGTCATTGGAATACTGTTGAAACCATGTTTATGTAACGTATACATCTCAAAAATGTCCAATCTTTAAACAAATTTAGCACCTTGGTTTTTTTTTGCCAAAAACTTGCTTAGCTGGCATTTCACAGATCAAATGAAAGTGTACCTTCATCTCGACCGCCTCCTCACCTTAATCACCATCTCAAAAGTGAAGACTCCAGTAAAGACATAATCCAGATACTTGAGAACCTGAGAGAAGTGATAGAAAATATCCTGTGAGATGACTCGACACCAGATGCATGACAAATGTTTTCAGTTTGAGATAAAGGTGTGTGTTTGTCTGTGTGAGTGAGTGAATCAGATATGCACGACGTGTTCCTCTGCCTTGTCCGAGTTTCCAAGCTTTGTCAGCTTTGCACTCCCCTGCACTCTCACACACACACACACACACACACACACACACACACACACACATCCTGATCGTCCACAGGAGCCGCACAAACACACAGAATAAACAGCCATATACAGGCACAACATCACCTCAGATTCTCTCTGTGGCTCTGACTAGAGTATGAATTAGTTGGGCTTGTCGGTCACAAAGCAAAAACCCTTCACCCTGCATCTGTTACTTCCTTATTTTCAACTTATACTTGAATGCTGTGCAGGAAATAAAGAGCACAGTAACATTTAGCCAAACTGGATGTAGGCTGCTTTGGTGGTTTTAATAACAGATTATTGAGAAATTGACTAAATATTAACCATACGGTTGTTCCTCAACTGTAGAGCCCTGTTAGGAAGAATACTTCTATATCACTCTGAAATAAATAAGCCAGCCATCCTCAAAGGAAATTCTCATGCAAGTTGTGGTTTGTTTGAGTACACCTCTGACAACCAGTGTGTTTGTCATGTGTGTCCAGATATGTTTTGATGAAGTCTAGATGTCAGTCTGACTCACTTGGTTCCGCGGTGCATTGGCTTGGACGGGGTCCTCAGCTGCCAGAGCGATGCTGCTCATGGTAATGACCATTAGGATGCACATCTCAAAGTAGCGGAGGTTGACCACGTAGTGACACAGCCGTCGCACCCTGCAAGACAAACAAACACACACACACAAGTACACAACTGTAAAAGTAAACAGAGTTGTGACAGCTCACTGGGTTGTTCAGTTGACATACCTCCATAACAGGACAACACGCATATCACTCCCAGTCAAAGTAATGCACATATGTTGAGATGCATCAGCCTCAGCAACACCAAGTGACTCAGGGTCATCTCAGGTGAAGATGGTTTTTAATGTAACAAGCTTTAAATCGTTTTGTATGAATGGAAAACATTCTATGAAACTGTACTGAAACTCAATCAGTAAGCTGAACAACCACAGACTTTTCACTTTCTATGATTTAAAATGTAACTTTATTAAAGGTGGAAAGTGTAGCATAGATCTTTTCTTAAATGTCACCGCTTTGATTCTGAGTTTTTTTTCAGTCTCCCTAAGGCTCCATTATGAGATGTGAGTTTGGAAAGTAGATAGTCAAGTTAATTAAAGGCAATCTTCAAGCTTCTTCAGTCTCAGTGCCCTCTTCACCATGACAGTCTGGTACAGCACCTGCATCATTACTTTGCTCAGTTGATTTAGTAGATTTTTCAAGGCTCCCAGTAATTTACACTATCTTACCATTAAGGCTGATAATCAAGATCTGTGCTTGGGACACTGACCCATCACTCTTCCTAACTGCTGTTCACTTAACTACACCATCTACTGAAACCCATCCATCAACGTAGTCAGCTTAAAGAAGGAACACAGCAGAAACAACCGTCACTTTAACATTAACAATGTCCCAATCTACTCTCAGCATGCAGCCCCCTTTGGGTGCAAATTGATATCAGTTTTGTGTCAAAACTGTAAGTTGAATCCTAATAATGATCGTCTAGTTTAAACTCTTTGCTGTTCCTCATCAAAGCCACACATTCAGTCGTTTTTCACGTCCCTCCTCTGAGTCATCCGTCTAACTTACGGGTTTGTTACCCCGAAGATGAACATGGAGCTGTAGGGAAGCATCTCCCGAGGCCCGTTGGCTGCCTCCTCCTCCTCCTCCAAATCTTTCTTTTCATCATTGAGTTGGAAGTTGTCGCAGTCAATGTTGTTCACTGGTGGGGAAAAAACATTTACTTAAAAAGAAGAACAAACATCATTAAAAATTATGTTTCCTGTGACAATGGGTTTAATTTAGTAGATATGTCCAGAAAGTTAGGACCAGAAAATTAGCCTAATTGAAGTTGATAAGAGCCACCTCAGGGGTTAACATCAGTGTTATTCAGGTTATTTTTAATTATTTTAGGAAATTTGGATCATTTACCCTGAAGTTTGGTAAACATATGAAGGTTTTCCTCAAGAATGAATCCTGTATTTTCCTCCATTGCCAACGCCAGGTCAAAATGTTATGTTTTTTTTTGTTTTGTTTTTTAAATATTCTGGTTTATGACACAATACCTACCAAATATTGGCATTCCCTCCCCGACATGTCATGTGTGTTTAGTGCTTATAAGCTACTTGAAGCATGCTGAAACTAAGCACCAGCATGTTAGCAATATGATTGTGAGCAAGCTAGCATGCTGAAATTAGCATTTAACGAAAGTAGATGTAAAACCTCACAGCAGTTAGCATGGCTGTTCCTCTTTTAATTTTTACACGTTATTGTGGGTGTTTTCTACAGTACATCATTGTAACTTTTGTTTTGGCACATTTAAATGTAATTTCTTTAGTATATCTTATACTCTTTGTTATTATTATTATTATAATGACTTTATTAAAGTTTTTGCCTTTATCCTCACAATCATTACTCAATGGTTATGACGGTGACATGCTGTACTCACTGGGTATGATGGTGGTTTCTCCAGGCGGAGCAGTGATGGTCACAGGGATGTGGATGGCATTGCTGTTGAGGCCCGCCTGGCTGGCCCTGGTGGAGTTTTTCTGGTTGTCAGCATCCTCTTGTTTGTCTCCAAGACTCATGCTGCTCTGCATTGGCTGAAGAGGACTGGTGGCAAGACCTAGCTCCTCAGCATCTGGATGCCTGTCCCTGGAGGAAGAGAAATGCATCTTATAACATCGTTATACTCTGTTCATAAGGATCTTAAAGCTTTTTCAGCCAAATTAGAGCAACACACGGAAAATCCCAGTCCTCCTGGGAGACAGACCACAGCTTATGTGGCAGCAACATGAAGTGGACTTCAATTTAAAAAACATATGGTGTTTATGTACAAATGAAACCCCTGATTTTTTATTTATTTATTTGATTTTTTTATGTAGCCAATTTACTGACATAGAAAATGAAACCGTAAGAAAGAAAACCACTGGAGAATAAATTAGGCTCAGTCCAATACATAAGAGGCTCATCTGAAAGTTGTTGTGTCTGTTAAGTATTGTCTGTAACCTCATGAACAAAGTCTAAACAGGCAAAGATACACAAAGATAGAAAAATTAAGCAATGAATGATTCCTGATCATCCAGAAAATGCTAAAAAAATCAATACACTAAGAGCTAATGAATATTAATAAGCTGTTTGTCCAATCAGGTGTCAACAGAAATGTCTTCTCTTCAACCTGATATCATAGCTGGGCCCTAATAAGTGTTTTTTCTCTCTCCCCCAAAAAAGCTTCCTTTGAGGACTACTGCCTAAGAACATGGGCCACACAAACTAACAGCTAAGCCATCGACACCCCGTCCATTTTATTTTGATAACTATGACAACATAAAACAAGTCTTTCTGTGTTGTCTTATTCTGTAGAGCTATTACTTGCAATATGTAGCAATTTGCAAAGTTACTATTGTTTTTATCTATTATTATTTTTTACAACTTGGGTCTCTAAGAACTGTTGTATGTTCTGTTTGCACCATGTATTAACACAGTTGACTTATTTATTTTAATGCTAAGATTGTGCATGTGATGACAATGCTATAATCCTTTACAGGATTTAATATCTGCAGACTAACCAGTGATTTTTGGTTCCATTCTTGCTCCTCTTACAGTCGTCTCCGTCCAGCGTAGACTGAGCTCTGATCATTCGAGAGCAACGTGCCTTCCTCTCTCCATTGCTGTCCCCTCCTCCTCCTCCTCCTCCTCCCCTTCACCCTGTGCTCTCCTTGTGCACCATTCGCTATCATCCCATTTCCCTCTTTCGTGGTACGGTGGGAGTGGTGGTGCCGATGGCCCTTTTCTTCTCCTCCTCTGATGCCTTGGGCCTCCTCTCAGGTGAGCCGCCCTGGTGGTGGTGTCTGTGTCCCTGCCCTCCCTCGTGGCTGTGACTCCTCTCTCCTCTCCTCTCTTTTGCTTGATTGCCGTTACCATTACCATTGGGATCTCTGCTCCTGCTGTGATGGGTGTGGTGTCTCTCTCCCCGCTCTCCATCGCCTCCTTCCCTGCTCTCTCCGTTCTTGTCGCGGTGCCGATAATGCTTCCTAGAGTGTGTGTGGAAGTTGTCTCCCAAAACGTCTCCTACTTCCTCCTGACCTCCATCGGGGGGCTTCCCAGGTTTCTCTCCATCCCTGGCCTCAACCACAAGTGGCCTGTCAAGATGAGTCTTCATGTCAGGATGCAGGTGGAGGGCGGTGGTCATCCTGAGGCGCTCCTCGGGGTCCAGCTCGTTGAACAAGGCCTCACTGCTCGACCTAATGTTATGTCTCCTCAGCTGATTGGTTCTCTGCTCCCACACCGACATGGACTTTGCCGATCGCTGCTGCTCCTTACTGCACACAGGAATCAACAGTAACATGAAAAGCAATGAAAACTTTCATTATCTGTTTTTTATGTACTTTATTAGTAGGGAGTTCAGTTGAACAGCCACCATCCACAGTATCATCCATAGGCACACCACCTGCTAATTTGTCAAATGTTTCATTATTTGATTCTGAACATCGAGCCCGTGGGACAAAACGTAACAAAGCAGCAGAGAAGAGGTGGTCTATGGATGAGTCGGCACAAATGTTCACCATGGTAGAGCTTTCACTTACCATGTCTGAGGGTTACAAGGTTAGGAGCTCAAATTTCCACTGCAAAATATGAATGTTTCTTTTTAAATTCCCAGCACCTAGAATGGTTAAGGTTATCTAATGAGGGTCTATTGAGTCTGTAGATTATACACTTCAGAGTAATAGTGTGCTGTCATTTAGGTAGAGACTAATTCAGTCAAACGTCTTCTTGATGAAACTTTTCACAAGTGATAATGAAAAGAAGTACTGTCCATAAAGAGATAAGTGGCTTCCCTTTGTTCAAGACATTTTATGTTATCATGTTTTACTCGAAAATAAAAAATCCTTAACATTACTCTTGCTAAGTATCACAACGTTTCAGGCGTCTGAACCTTTGTCAAGTGTGTCTAATAATTTGGTGACACTTACCATGTGTAGTGTGCAGGATTTTTTCTTTTCAAGTAATCTTTGTGCAAACACCTCCTTAAAAAATTGGATCATGTTTTAAAATGATTTAGCTTGCAGCAAATTACCAGTTGAGTGTGTAGTGTTTTTATAATATCAATTTAAGCTTGAGTCTTCAAATTCAAACGTATTTAGTCAAAGAAATAACTCAGTCGTAACATATAGCTAGGATCAGAAAAGGTTGAGGACATACCTCTGCAGAGTTTTCATACACTGCTTTTCAAGTTTCCCTCTTTAGGCCTGTTAAAGGGACTCTGCACGGACTGAACTTCTTATTAACCAAAGAGCTGTGCGACTGCATTAAACCTCTTTTATACTCTCAAAGAAACCTTGTATGTCTGAAATGAGAGACTCATTAAGGACAGTTTCAGTCTAAATCTGATCCATTACAAATGTAAAATGATACACACTAAGACACTGTCAGAAACAGAACAGTAAGGAACATATAGTAAGCTTGACAACATATGAATAGAATGAAATCGTTTTTTATACAAGCCATTCCTATAAAGGGTTAACTTTAAATGTTTGATAGGAAGGACAAGTACCAAAGCTTTAAAAAAAAACTTTGTATTTTAATTCTGTGAGCAAAAAGAAAGCAGTGGGGGTCCATTCAAATTCACAGATACTGACATTTCCTGAGTCCTTTTGGCATCTCATAAAGAAATAAACGCTTCATTTATGTCTCTTACAAACAAACAGATACCAGAGGAGGAGACACTGTTTAAATTGCACAAAAACAATAGTAATGTTTGGGTACCAAAATGTTCCCCAAGTCTTTGTGCAATGTAGACAGTGTGCAGGAGCTGCTTTCACTTTTTGATAACTTAAAAAAAAAAGACACAATATTTGGTGCCTTGGACTTCTGTATGTGTTGATGCAGCATAGAAACAGGTATTGATATGGTTTGATTTTTACTATAATTATATAGAATTATGAAATCCTGCATTGGTGACAACTTTAATTCATATGGCAAACCATAAGACTAAACAGATATGATCATAGTGTTATTGTTTCTCCTGAACCTGCTGGTTGGAAACAGAGCAGTTTCTAAAGTCATTTTGAGGTAAAAGATGAAGAATAAATCTTCAGCTCCCTTTGGTGCAAACTGTTTTCATAAAGTACAGTTGAATAAATTATTTGCCTTCAAAAGTCTGCTAATGAATGCTATCAAATATAAAGATATACCGTGACCGTCTATAGCCTTTAATTATTGAAGTCAGCAGTGAAAACTTACATTTGTCAGGTATGTAGTGCAGCAAACCCTGCTGATTTTGCATCCAAATACACTGAAATATATATATATTTTCAGATGTTGTTACACTCAGGTGATGTGAAAATAGGGCAGGCTGTAAAAAGTGCGATGTGTGATGACCATTCTCAACATGTATGTCCATTAAGGAAGACAACAAGCTGCTTCCTGCATTGAGAAGAATATGGTTAGAGATCATACTCAAAGGTGAAATGAGATTTGTTTTGAGTATGAGAGTTTATCTCATGATGTGTGAAAAGATTTAAGAAAACACACTTCCACATTTCCATCCATCATGTATGAAGGCAATGCATACTGTATCTCTTTCTGCACAGTATGATTTATTTACATGGGGCTTTATGGGTTAGTTAAGTTTGTTCCATCTGGTCACCTGTACCTCGAGATTCGTCTGGTGGGGGAGGAGTAGACAGTATACATCCTAAAAGACAGACAGAAGACAGACAGAAAGAAAACACGGACGACACAGGAGGGGTACCCACAGACAGGTGAGCAACACACATACACATACATGTTTATATTCTCACAGAAAAAAAGAGTTAGACGTCCAACATGGAGGGGAAGATATGAGGAGATATATTACCAAAGCACATCCACACCCACACACACACGTAACATCAACAGCAGAAAGGTGAAGTCATAGAAATCACAGTTGGTGCTCAGAAATGACTTGCATTATCTCAAAGAGATGAGATGTTAAATGAGCGTCCCTCAGCTTCCATCTCTGCTTTAATCAATTAAGACAACAGAGGGCAGGGGAGCAAACTTACAGCTGGTTGTTTAATTTTTATCTGTGGCTCATATTGTTTGTCTAGGTGATGTCTTGGGATCTACAATAACAGAAAGACTGGCTTTGCTAAACTGCTTGTGGTGAAGAAGTTGAACATTTACCCACAATGTATTCACATCAGAGAGCACAAAGTGTAACATGAAGCTGTAGGCATGGACTGCAAAGCTGTAGATATCAACAAAGTGCACAATGGTTGGTTAAAGCCAGGGAATTACACACACGCTGGTTGCACAGCTTAAAATCCATAACAGGTATGTAGTAATTACAAGAAATTGGTTTCTATGTTTTGTGTTGCACTCTGACCCTAGAACTTCATCCACAGACTGAATAAGTTATAGATGAGGCTACCGTTACATCACTGATTGGTTTGTTGACTGCTGGTTTTAAGGATTAAGTTTGCTAAATTTGCACTTTACAATGATTTAGCTTTTTATGAAACTCTATGAATAAAAATCTGCTTACAAAAATACATCTCAAGAGTCTCCTCCTCCAATATCAAAGCCATTCTCACTTCTCAAGTTGCTTGTTGGAATGTAAACAAAAGTAATGCACTAGAAAGTGTTTCTTAGCTGGAAGCCCTTTATCGTTAACCAGTTGTTTCACATATTGTCCCTTGATAATAGCTAATGGGTTTTGAGATTGCCTTGATGGGGACCAAAAGTTTATGAAATGGACATCTTGAGACTGGCGATTCAGACGATAAACTCATGAGGAAATGTTTACTGAGGTAATAAATCAAGAGGGAAGTATGGTCAGCGTCTGGTGGACTCGTGTACAACCTAACAGATTTTTTGCAAACAGTGGAGACGCCCCCTGTTGGCCACCAGAAAGAACAAAGATCAAGACATCGACACACATTTAACCCTAAAATATCGTCCTTTATGTTGCCACCAACTGGCTAGCCTTTTAAGTGCAACACTTGGCTAAGGAAGTCAACTAACAACCAAAGGGTAATACTTTTATAATTTTTAAGTTGGGTGGAAAAACTGATTAATCTTCTGTCCAATAGACTGAACACAATATTCTGTTGGCCTTATTTTAGCAAGTCATACTTACAGTACATGTAAACTCTGGTTTTACAGTTTGTCAGAATATTAATTTTGCAGTAATATAGCTGTGAATCAATTGACTATTAGCCCAGCAAGGAGGTTCCTGGATCAAAATCCTAGTGGGAGAGGAGCCTTTCTGTGTGAAGTTTGCATATCTTCCATGTGTAGGTTTCCTCCAGGTTCCTCCCACAGTCTAAAGACACGCTTGTTTGCTTAATTGGTGAGCTTAAATTGGCCATATGTGTGAATGTGGTGGTCCATCTGGTTCTGTCTCTATGTGTCAGCTCTGTGATTGACTGGCGAGTGCAGGGTGTACATCGCCTCTTGCCCAACTTTTAACTTAAAAAACACATAAAATAATAACTTTATTAAGAGAAAGTTTTTACTCTAATGCCTAAAGAGAGAGTCTGTAATAATCCAGCCATGAATGGGATCAGTATAATAAAACATTTCACTTCACCAGCAGACAATATAGTGTAGTTGTACAGTGTTGTTTTATGGAGGTCCAGAGGAAAAAGAGGAGAGGAGAAAAGGAGAATAGGCAGAGACACGATAAATAGATGAGGATAGGTGAGCGGTAAAGGGAAAAAAAATAAGATGATAAAAAGAAAGAGAATGGGGAGGGATTGAAAATAAAGATGGAGAAGAGGAAGAAAATATAAGTAATAGAGATAAAAAAAAAAAAAAAACTGAGACCAAAAAGACCATAAGGGGAAAATGTATAAAAACAGAAGTTTACCAGACAGAAGAGAAAAGGAATCGGAAAGGAGTGGAGTAGACATGGAGAGGTTTGGAGAGGCAACGAGCAGAGGAGAGGAGATCAAGAAGGAGGAGACTAGGAGGAGAATATTGTAACAGAGAGTGAACTCACGGTGACTGAATGCTGCTGATGGACGACCTGCGAGAGATTGCATCTCGATTTTGCTTTACAAAACTGTACATGCAGAACAAAAAACAAAAGAAAATATGAGACACAAATGTGGAGGGGACGGGGGGGGGGACTGTCAAGTCTGTCTTTCAGTCCCCCCGCCCCCTCCTGAGTACATTAAAGAACTAATCAGAGCAACCACTTCAATAACACAACAGCAACTAAAGCGTGTTCAGACATTTTCATAATGACAAAGCACTAGAACTGAAAATAATACAGGAGTTTCATGACAAAATGAGAAAATCACAAGCTGTGACTGTTCAAATGTTACAACTTTAAGTTTGATTTTGAGATTAAGAGTGTTATATAATAGTTAATAACTGTCTCTATTTTGGGGTGTTTACCATTAAAGGTTCCTTCATTTTGTAATGAAACCCTGTTTCTCTGAAACATCACACACAATGCACATAAAACAGTTCTTTAAAATAAAAGAAGGTATCAAGTTTAATGTACAAATTAAAATATTCTGAGAACACAGAATCACATAATAAAAGAAATGACAGACAACGGGAAAGATCCAAAAATCACCTCGCCATTGGTTTGATCATTCTCTACAGTCTACATGATCTAGTTCTTAGTGAGGAGGAATGCTGATAAATTCATATTAAACTGTCTAATTATCAAAGAAAATCTAATTATAACTATGTGCATTATTGATTCTTTACACATCAACAGAACTAAAGGGACTCTAAGGGAACTCCAGCATCACTTATTGCAGCTCTGAATCACCGATAAGGAGGAAAATGTCCAGTTTTTTCACACCAGCTTTCTCTAGACAGGCACCCATTATTTCATTGTTCATGCAGGACCTAAAAATAGATTGAACTCAGAGGAGCAATTAATTATCACGCTGACTCGAGACCCCCCGACCTGTCAATCACAGGCTGGTAGTGGAGAGGGGGCGGGTCAAATGTTTTAGCTTGACATGGGCTATCTGGGTATATGAAGACATCACTGTGATTAGAGCTTCTGAGAGTGGACATTTAAGCTTTCTATTATCTTCAATGGACTCTTGTTGCCTCTCTGGTTTCGCTTTATTTCTCTCGGTTCTTCTGTTTACTCTGTCTCTACAAACAAGTGCAGGGGAAGATGGTCATAACCTGGCTCAAGGCCATACAAGATAAAATAGATATAAAGTAAACAGACACATTTTACATGAAATGAGTCAAGAATTATGAACTATAGCCACCTTGTCGGGTTTTCTTATTTATGAAAAACTCATGCAATTGTCTACGTTTAGGCTTGATAAGCAAATGAAATGACTTCCCTTCCTCTGAAAAGCCTTCATCTTAAAATCCTGAAGACATCTTGCAAAGTGCAGAGTACCTTTAGGATAGTCAGTCATTAAGTTTCCTCACTGAATGCACCTTTAATGTATTCCCTTTATTCCTAGTCAAACCTTTTTATAGTTCATAATAAAATACATTCCCAAAACATTGATTATTTGCATATTCTAATTTGATTCCCCTCTCATTTATCCTCTTCTAAGTTTTTGTTACTAATCTGTTTCAAAGTATTTGACTCGAGACAGATTTATATACAAAAAATATTTATGTCACATTACCCAAAATATATGTGCAACCTGAAGAGCTGCTGATTGACAGCTGAGTTGTCGTAGTGATGACATTGAAGTAACGTCTAAAGCAAATTATGGTTCAGTCTGACAACAGAATGCTGATTTTGGCTGCATGTAAAATAAACACACAATATGTTCATTGAACTGTCAAAAGATTGTATTTAAGAATTAAATGTTGTTCATCCATTCCACTAATGTTTCCAAGAATCTCAGATCTTTTGGATTACCATATATAACTTATCTTGCATAGAGTTGTTGCCCAAAAACTGGAAACAAATATGTTAAAATTAAGATTTTGGCTTCTTGAGGGAAATTGGCTTATTTCTGTGGAATCAATAACTATGACAAAAAAGGAAAAATAGTCAACATTTTTAGGGGAAACAAGAATATTTTTGATTATACACTGTAGCTTCCTTAAATGCTCTACAGAGAGAGATAATGAACGAGTGATAAACGAGGAAACATCGAAAGTGCACCATAAAAGTGTGAGAAGATGATAAGAGTGTTTCAGAGTGTAAATCAAAACCTCTAATTTATAAGCAGAAATATTTTACACTAAGGGAAAAGAACTTCAGTAGGATAAAGCGTTGGGATGAATTTCCAGTGTGGGCAAACAGAGCTGCTGTCGGGGGGAAGAGATAGTCAGAAACTTACGCAGAGATGGAGATGTTGGCCGCTGACATGGGGCTGACTTCCTTTACCTCCAAAGCCTTCTGCAGGGCGAGCTTTTTATTGGCTGCCTCCTCCTGCTCCTCTTCATCCTAATGCAAGGGAAAACAAACACAAAATATCACGATGAATGAAAAAAACATGATATTATGATGCCCTCTGCATGTGGATGAGGTCTTCTTGAAAACTTTCACTAAAAGTAGAGAAACAAAATCTCATTGCAGACTGTAAATACCTTAACAATGACACCCTGACCCAGCTTACCTTAGTCAGCTCCTGCGCATTTGCGAGGTTATCGACAGCGATGGCCAAAAAGACATTCAGGAGGGTGTCTGAATAACAACAGGACTAAGGAAAATAAAGACATACAGCATGCATTGCATACCCATACATGGTCAAATACATTAAGCAGGGTCTTTATATGTTGTTGTTGTCTGTCCTAATCTGACCTATATTGATGAGAAGGATCTTTCACCATCTGCAGATCAGATGATTTATTTCTGCTCCTGATGGCAGGAAAACAAGTTAAAAATCAAAACAATATTAAATCATCTTTACTCCAACCTTAATCGATATTTAAAGGCTTTATGTGCGATTTTTTGATCCAGCAGATGTCGCCCTTGAGCACCAGCATGAAACCAAAACAACTCGTGGTGTATTGTTGTGTTAGCATGCTAATGCTAGCAATTGTTGTTATGCTCGTATCTTCACACTGCATGTAAATTTACCTGAAATGAGCGTGATCTAGAAACACAGTGAAGCAGTGAGTACAGTATGTTATTCTTCTTTTTTCTAGTCCCTCAATTAAACAACTTTTATACACGAGGGGAGGAGTCAGCCGGCTGTCCTGGCGATGTAAACAAACTGAAGATAGGACTCTGAAAACATCACAGACAGTGGGACTCGGGTGTTACACCCATTGTAGACAGTCATGACTCACAGAGTTATTTTCAGAGGATATACTTGATTTCTATTATATTTAAGAGTGAAGTGTGTGCATATAAAGCCTTTAAGGTTGTTTTACAGGACTCTCGCATATTCTGTTGTAGGGGCTATAATGAAAGATTATGCAAAAATTAAAAAAGGATTTCAATGACTTGAATATGAATACTGAATATGAATATTGTAAAAGAAAAAAGGTACACTGCTCTCTTAGCAAAACAGACACCCAACCTTAAAGAAATAACAGAATACAGCAGTGGTTTGGTGATTATTATTGGTGTATCTGAACAAATTGTTTCTCCAGCAATACATCAAAGGTCCAAAGGTCCATTATGTAAGATATCTACTGAATTCAACCATACTTACTATCATCAGAGAATAAGGAAACATGTTGAAGTGCTGGCATCTATGACAACAATGCAGCATCCAGTATGTCCTCCTCCTAAGTTTAGATTCAGGTGCAGAATGGTCTGTTTTTGTTTAATTTTACAACATCCAAACAAGATCATTTTGGACGCCCCTCGGTTTGCCAGGAAAAAGCAAACCAACAAGCGATGGAAGTGGGACAGCTAACTGAAGCCTCAGCATTTTTGTAATACCCTCCATGACCAGAAAACGTGATAAAACTAGGATAAAAATGAGAGATGCTTTTGAAAAATGGAGAGAGGTTAGAACACAGAAAGGTTTCAAAATGGATGCAGAGCTGGATAAACACTGAAGCTTCAGTGTCCACCACATGACGACCTGTACATCAATCTTCCCTTCATGATTCTGCTCCTTGTAAACACGCAGCAGTAATAACAAGATGGTGTTAAAGAGGATACAGTTTCCAAAGAGCGTGAGGACGATGAAGTAGACGGAGGAAAACATGCCGCGGCGAACACCTCCTTGAGACTCGATCCCGTGATACATTACGGCGTTCCAGTCCTCGCCAGTCAGAATCTGAGGAAGACAAAAGAGTCACAGAGGTGTTGTAAGGCTCTATGCTAATCTCACGAGTGTCGAATTCAATTACCTCACAGAGTGAAGGGTTATGAGCACAGACTAATTGAGGGATTATCACAGTCTCATTAGGGGACAGAAGGTACACAGAGCAGTCATTCTTTCTAATTAAAATGACTGATGGCAATCTTTCTCTTTTCATTCAGTCAATATTTCCTCAGTTCACTTTGAAGTGCACCTTCAAAGTGAACACACCATTGTGTGTGTGTGTGTGTGTGTGTGTGTGTGTGTGTGTGTGTGTGCGTGCGTGTGTAGTGAGGTCTTACCTGGAACACAGTGAGGATGGCTGCTGGGAAGGTGTCAAAGTTTGTTGTTGGCGTCTCATCTTCAAAGTTAAACCTAAAACGATGAGCAGAACATCATGAAAAAAAAGAGGAAAAACAAAAGCAAAACGATTAACTATTAAAATAAGAAATAGTAAGAAATCACTTTAATATATATATAAAGTTAGAGCCTGGTGCTGAACTGCTACATTTGATTCAGAATCCAACCCTTCTGTCCAGTTCAAACATATTCACACCAATGCACACATTTTATTTTGGGGCTTTTTGCTTTGATTTGATAGCACAGTGGACACATCAGGAAATGGGGAAAGAGAGTGGGGAATAACATGCGGGTAAGGAGCTGCAGGTCAGACCATATTCTCCGTACATGGGGCGTGACCTTACACATGTCAAGAAAAGATAAGTAACGACACAAACCAAAAGTTCCTCAAAGGAGCGTAAAGTCTTTTTTTGCACCCTCAAGCAGCTCTATGAATGGATGACAAGGGGACCATACAAAAAGACTTACCCTTGAAAAATGTATTAAACTCACAATTGCCTCACAAAGAAGTTTGATACCTGTATAAAAGTGGGTTTCCCAGACTCCTTCACAGCATCAGAGAAAGTAAAGCTTATTTATGTATAAAAGGAGCTGCCCTGTCTTGATATTTGTAACAGAAGAAGAGGGAGAGGAACCGTTTTTCAAGTCCGAAACTCACAGTCGCTGCATCATGTTAGACAAAAGTGGGTACTGACATACAACACGTCAACAATCCTCAGGGATTATAAACCCTCTGATTTTGAACAAATCAAATATAAATCATTCAGAGTGAGGTCTGGATTCAGGAGGTTTCTCTTTATTGACCCAATTCCTCACCTCATGCTCATGCTTTTGAAAATATATCTAAATACTAGACTGGAGGTAGCAGGGTTTAGGCGTTTCAGTTTGTCTTTGTCTGCTGTGACAACTTCAGCACCACAGAAGAAGACAAGCTATCAGTTGAGGGGAAATCAATGCAGCCTGGATGTGTCAGGAAGATGAATGAGTCTGACAAACAAACAAACAAACTCCTTTTTTGGGTGTTGATACCTTAGCACCTCAAACTATGGTCGTTATACAGAGTCCAGTATGTTTATTGGACAACACATCAGCACAGCTGGACAGTCAAACATACTTCTACTACTAAGGCAATGGCAGAAACCTAAAAAGACTTAAATGCTTCTCTACAATTTCAGTATTTTAACAACTTCTAAAACTACTAACAAATATCGAAGGGTAAATGGAAGACGCGACTGATTGACTTGAACGTCCTTCACTCTTATTTTTCTCCTAAATTTATTCTAAAACTACTCATTAATCTGGAACACTTTGGCCAAATAAGATCAAAACAGTTGCATTGGCACAGACTGCAGATTTCTACAGTACAGCAATGAAGGAATTCATCAGATAACAAAGGATTTTTCTTTTATAATGTCGACACACAAGATGCCCTTGCATTGTGTTAAATTTACAGAAGCAATATTGTCATTATTTCTGCTTAATGAAACGAATGAAATTTATTTTCAGAATTCCATGAACAAAGCCGGCGATGTGTCACACAAAGCTGACATAAGAGAAAGAGAGAGACAAACACACACAGAACCTTCCACGATGGATTATTGTTCGGTCTATAACAAAGATAATATAACACAGAGTAAGGTCTTTTACCTGCTCTTTTTTTTACATAATATAACACAGAGTAAGGTCTTTTTTTTCATATGTTCATATGTCTTTTTATCATCTTAATTCATGTATTTTCCTGTGTTTAAACCCGTGCTTTACAGGCTTGTATATGTTTTATGTATTTCACAGTGTTCTTATGTCCTTTTCAGCACTTCAAAGTTGCTATGTTTACTAAGTGGATTGGATATTTTAGAGCCAACAGTTATATGGACAGACATATTATTGAGTCTTTTGTTGTAGTTGTATATGAGACTAACTGTTGTAATGCGCTGATAGTTTGCTCAAATTTTGAGAAAGACCCTTTCTTGTTTCAACACACAAATGCCAAATGCTTTTGTAGAAGTAGAATTTTATCACCATAGTTTTGGAACGACATGTTCACCTATGACACGTTGCTAATAATAAGTAGTTTTGTGATCAATCACTAAAACACAGCATGGGCTAATAATATGACCCAGTATGTATGGGTTTGGCTCTCGTATCTACAGAAGGTGCATGCAGAAGATGGAGGGGGGGTGAGGGAAAAGATGGGGGAGAAGGAGGCAGGGCAGCTAATTCAATAAGCCCTTTCTCCCTTGGTATGTCATCATACTCTCTCCTGATGCTTCCCTTTCCTCTACCATTGTCCCTCTCTTACTCATGACTGAATCCCAGATCAACCATCCCTCTCTCCAGCCATTATTCCTCCATGTACCACATTTTTACAGAGCCTGCTCCCCTTTCCCCCCTCTCCTTCCTTTTCTTTCCTTCTCTGCCCTCTCCTCTTCTTCACTTCTCCCTCCCTCATCTCCCCCATTCTCCAGGATTAGAGGGCCAATTGTAGCCAGCATTGGTGGCGGCTTTCTGCTGCGCCTGTGTGCACCGGCCTCTGTTTACTCTGATAATAGGGATTGGGAGTGTGCTGTTCAGCTTCCGAGCAACATCCACGGGGACTTCATTAAATCAATTCTGAAAACATGAGTCACATGATGCCAAATTCCCTGCAAGCTCCCTGCCCTAACCCTCCCCGTACCAATCCTTCAGACAACAGCAGCAGGTTTATATTGTGTAGGTGAATGCAACACACAAGTCTGAGTGCACACAAGTGAATTGGAGATAACCACTGGGCTGTGTGATATGAGAAAAACTACAGCTGCAGAGCACTGAGACTGTGACTTGAATTGGGACGCTCATGACATCCTGCAGTCATACGAGAAATGAAACTGGCTTTTACTGTATGAATAATGAGCTGAATACAAGGAGACAGAGATAGTGTGGCTACGGCTTATAGAAAGCAGTCCTACTGGATCTCAAAGACCTCTTTCTATAATTATCAGTCCAGCAAAAATTGCAATCAAACTCCTGCACACTTTCTAACTTACAACAACAAAAAAAATATTGGCAATGATTCATCACTAGACCTTCATCAGGCAAATACTTTGTTAAAGTGTCAGCTCTTCTCAAGCAGGGAGTGAACCTGCAACCAATCAACATCATCATCAGAAAACATAAACTAATAAATAATTAACAAACTACATGTCCAAAATACTGGATCAATAATATAACTGTATCTTAGAGTATGTATTCCTGGATGGATTGATCAGTGATTACTTTTTTAAATTACAAACGTAACTTCTTACAGGCCTCTTGGTTTGATTAAAAGTCTTTATCAGTTCCAATGTCAAACAATAGGGAACTGGTTGGCATACAGAGTAGTAGATGAACAAAAACTTAAATAGACACTTTAAATGCTGCCTTCCTGTATCCAAAGTCAGAGTTGCAAACACAGAAAGTCTGCACCTTTAAAACTGTTAGATAAAAAGCGCAAACCAGAAGAAAAAAAAATCACTCTTCTATTACAGTAAATCCTGCAGGTTTCCTTTGGGCTTATGGTGTATTTTTCAACAGTCGGCAATATCCAGGGAGTCTTAACAGGGAGACGGTCCTCTGCCTCAAGCTTTTCACTTTTTCAGTCCTAATAATTTAACCAGGAGATTACATTCTGTGTTTGGAGAGAACGGGGCAAAATCTCTGAGCAGAAAATAAACTTGAAATATTGCAAAGCAGCATCACTCCTACTTCATTACAGGTCATTTAATCTTCGATCGAGAGTTCAAGGACTATTTCTCAGTAAATAATCAAAAACATCCACAGGTTTTGACACACTTCAGGCTTATCTATAAGAAAGAAAAAGGGACATTTTCTGCAAGCACAAAAGAAGTATAGTGCCTGTATTACCGTGCTTTGGATGTTGACTAAAGAAAAGGTACAAATCATCTTTTAGATGTGTTTAAAAAGCCCTCATTGTTTGGCTGACTGGAAGCACCATGTGGATGTCAGACTCATCTCACACTTGTCCATCTACAGATAGAAATGTGATGCTAAAGATGGCACAGACTGTTGTAATGCTAGTTGCTATAGCAACAGCCTTCTGCTTCAAAGACATGCAGTTGTGGCGTGGTGTTTGTGAAGGCCGTCAGTCAGGGGAGACGTGACTTCATGTTAGCGTGGCAGTTCATTTGAGAGAGCTCACTGCCTGACACGACAAAGTGTAACAACACACACTGTTGACTTTACATGCTCTCTCTTTATGATCTTCAAGAGCAGAACAAGACCATCAACAACAAGTTTGACTGTGAGCAATTACCTTCATTTTGAATGCCTGTACCTGCTGTCTCTGAGTAGGTGTCATGTGATGGTTAACAATAGGCTTTGTTTCCCACCGTGAATTTTGACACTGAACAATATAGTTGACTTTGGTTGCAAAACAAGAATTTGTCAGAAAACGTACCTAAGCAAGAACAGGACAAAATTCACAAAGAGAATAGAGGTAACGCTTTGTCCACAGGGGTTGAAAAATCCACAAAAACAAAAAAAATCCTCACAGGAGCTTTAACAAACTGCCTTAGAAGCAGAATTCAAGGATTACCAAAGCATGAGGGCATGGCTTAGAAATAAGAAAAATATTCTTATTTTTCCCTCTGGGAAACCCACTTTTATACAGGAGGTATCAAACTTCTTTGTGAGGCAATTGTGAGTTTAATACATTTTTCAAGGGTAAGTCTTTTTGTATGGTCCCCTTGTCATCCATTCATAGAGCTGCTTGAGGGTGCAAAAAAAGACTTTACGCTCCTTTGAGGAACTTTTGGTTTGTGTCGTTACTTATCTTTTCTTGACATGTGTAAGGTCACGCCCCATGTACGGAGAATATGGTCTGACCTGCAGCTCCTTACCCGCATGTTATTCCCCACTCTCTTTCCCCATTTCCTGATGTGTCCACTGTGCTATCAAATCAAAGCAAAAAGCCCCAAAATAAATCTTAAAAATAAAGAGAAGGTAGAAAAGACTAAGATAAGATCAACGTTTTAATCAGATGAAGTTATGTGTCTTGTGTTTTATGGCGTACATTTTTTAATCAGGGTTCCAAAATAAGAAGAAAAATTATCATTTTAATACTAAATACCAAAGCTGATCAATTGTAGACAAACCTCCCATTGTAAAAGTTCCCATAAAAACAGATAGACGTTCATATTTTTCATTACAGCACATGCATCAACTGCCTGAATTCTCCTTAAATTAATTATTGTAATTACTCTTTTTTTTAACCCAAAAAACGGGTTGTTTCCAGAGTTGTGTCTATTATCACAGACAAAAGGTTACTGTTAAATATAAACCCTCGCTGGTATCTTCCATCATACATACATTATAGACAGACTTCCTGGGGCACATTTGACAAGCTGTGCTTACTTTAGCTGTGCACAGTTTTGCTGTTTGAGGAGAGATTAGAAGCACTATTTCAGGTTTGCTCACTTTCCGTTTAGCCTACATCTAAATTAAGTTGTCTTAATAAACTAGTCAATATTTTAGCTTGTTTACAACACCTGTTCATGTTTCTTGTTCAGTGGACATGAAGGTGCCACATTCCAAGAACCTAGCTAAATCCGTTTTGTATATATTTGCATAGCAGACAAAAACGAAGAAGAAGCTGCAATAAACCAGAACTAGAACCAGACATATTTTAAGAACAGATTTATTTCCTTGTGAAAAAGCTAAATGTTACTTTAAGGCTGGGAAACAATAATAGGCTGAAATGCTGTAAAGCCGTAAATACAATGTAAAATATGGATAAAAATGATCACAGTGGACCTGCCTGGCTGTTGCATTATTTATGTGATCTGAGGTGACATGTAAAGAAAAACAGAAAGTAAAATATGTGTGTTTGAGTTGGGTCAGACAGGGCTGGTTGCGAGGCCTTTGATTAACTGCAGACAGCTAAGAATCAGGAGGTGTTCCTGTCATTAGACGACATGAAGCTCCTGCTGAGAGTGATATCAAAGGGCTGCAGTCAGGGCTGCTGTTGTGCCAGCTACCTGCTGCGTCAACATGTCTGCCACACCGAGACAGAGATCACACACAGGGGGAGGAGGGTCAGATGGAGGGATGAGATAAAAGAGAAAATAGAGCCTGTGTCTGTGCGCACATGTGTGTCTGTGATGAGGGAGCAAGAAAAAGGGAAGAGCGGTCAGAGAGCAGCGGGAAATGTTACTGAGATTACTCACTGTCCTCCGAAGAGCTGCATGCCGAGCAGAGCGAAGACCACAATGAAGAGGAAGAGGAGGAAGAGCAAGCTGATGATGGACTTCATGGAATTCAGGAGGGAGACGACGAGGTTCCTCAACGAGTTCCAATACCTGCGAGGAAGCAGCAAACACAGAGACAAGGGGGCAGATAAATGTTAGTCTTTTTAAATCATTAAACATCTTCTTTGAGTGGCAAGCGAACCATGCTGGGAAAAAATAAACGATAAAGAAGAGGAAAAAGGGAAGCAAATGGAAGTGTGAGCTGTAGGTGGCATAAAACAAATCAATGAGTCAGGGTCTACATCAGCCCGTTTCAGTGAATCACAGGATTAAAGCTTATCTAATGAAATAAAAAGATAGCAATTAAACCCTAACAGGATCATCAGATCAAGAGAGAAAGGGCCTAGAGACACAGTGCAGCTCATTTAACATTAAAACTTGTCACTTCAAAATCACACTATTTGGAAGAATTTACAGATTTTGAGCGCTATAGCCTCCATACTGTCCATGGGGCGAGACATTACCGCTAGGCTATTCGGCACACCCTCATAGTAGCTTTAAGAAATATGTTTTGGTAAACTACATCATATTTAAGTAAGGGTATTTAAATGTATACTGAGGTCTAAATTGGAATAGTTTGAGCTGCACATTACCCATCATACTTTGAGTCATATACACAGAAGATAATCATTCTTTGGATTCAGTGCGTTACCTCAAAGTCTGAAATGATTACTGGTGTTTGACAAAAGTTATGGACATTTTCTGAAACAAAAATGACATTTTATTGTATTGTTTTTATACAGAGAAAAACACTTAAATGTTATGATTATAAAGGAAGACATGAGGTCATAAAAACCCCCTTGTCAAAAAAAAGTTGATTTATTGATGTTTATCCTCGAGAGATGACTTTGGATTTGTGTGCATTTATGATTATTGATACTGAGAAGAAGTGAAGCAGTTTTTGTGCAAATAATATCAAAGGATATAAGTTAATAAAAACATAACAGGTAAGCTAAGAGAGGGAGTAATATGAATACAAGCAAGTAAGATTTTCTGAGATGGAAGAAGAATGAGCATTGTGAGCCTGAGTTGAACTTACTTTGTGACTTTAAATATCCTGAGAAGTCGTAGGGCTCTTAACACACTGATCCCAAACGATGCTCCCGGTTTAATCATGTCCCAGATCACTTCAAAAATACTTCCAACAATCACCTACAGAGAAGAAGGTAGAGTATAGTTATCCCCTGCTGCTTTCAGTCTGTTTCAATAATCCAAACAAGACTGGTTGATCACCCACATACATTAGGACTGCTGCTTGTCATGTATCTTGCTGTGAGTGACAGTCAACAGTAACTTACCCCGAAATCAAAGCAGTTAAAGGAGGAGTGGAAATAATTCCTCACTCCAAGGCCATACATCTTCAAACTCATCTCAGTCAGAAATAATCCAAGGAATACAAACTCTGCAGCGTCTGTTGTCAAGATGGATGGAATAAAAGCATGTTATTAAGTCATCAACATCAAATGTAATGTACAGTACATGAAGTGTTTCGGAGTGTATGAGTTTGAGTGACTTACAGAGGGCTCTTGTAAGCCATTCGGGCTGGTCATAGTGCACAATGGCCACGCACAGAGTGTTGAGGCCCACCACACACAGAACGATCCAGTAAAAGCTCTGAGCCTTCACCATGCGGCGGATGAAGAAGCGGGTCCTCTTCTCCTTACGCCGGAAGTAAGAGGAGCTGTCCATCTTCCCGCTGCTTTTCACACTGGCCCGACCAAAAGGAGAGCCCGGAGGAGCTGAGAATGATGACGGAGAGGTGAGAGAGGAGATGTGTGAGTGTGCAGCAGTTCAATGTTTGTCATTCTTTCACAGTTTTCACGGTGAATCACTGTGTGTGTTTTCCTTGTCTCCTTCCTGATACTGTGGTAAGCAGCATCTCCATCGCCATCTGACTCAACAAGATCAGAATTATAAAGGTGACTTGTATGCATATGTCTTCTGACAGTTTTAACTTTGAACTGAAAAAAAGGCTTTAATGCAAACAGAAAATATCTCCCTTTGGCATTTACATCACATTTCATATTTTCCCACTCATCTGGGATTGGATTACCGCGCCCTTTGCAACAGATTACACACAGACACAAGTTTTGTGAGTGTAAGTTTAAGGAGCTCCATCAAACAGCTTCAGAACAAACAATAAAAAAAAAACCTCTTAAGATGTTAATGTAAGAATGTGGTCCTTTCAGATGCAGTGTCTGTAACCCTAGGCTAATAAACATTGTTTAGTTGCCCTCTTGAGTTGCATATCTTACCACACTGACAGTAACATTGGGTGACACCCTGGAGGTTCAAATCAATTTGCTAATAGAGAGCAAAAGAAGCAAAAACAAGACGTCTAGTTGTTGAAATCATGCTCTTGAAAGGAGTTTGTTTCTACTAACAAGTCTCATGCCAGCAAGTGCAATAGGACAGTTAGCTTAGCCTATAGCAAAAAGACCCAGAGGAAGGGGAAACAACAAGCATGGCTGTGCTGAAACAAAAAAAAAGAAGCCTATCAGAATTTTATAAAAACAATTAAACAGAAGATCCTTTTGTTAAGGCCGTACAAAATCCCTTATATGGAAAAAGTTGTGTTTACAAGCAGAGTTATGATCTGGTTTTTTTTCCCGCTTGTTAGCAAAACAGTCTGAATTCGGTCAATTCATGTTTTGTCAGTAAAGACAGGTGGCAAATGCGCTACATCAAACCATCAGATTTTTATCGGGAGAAACAAGCTGCAAGTTCAGAAACAAACACATTCAAGGTAAAGGTTAGCGCTCCTTTTGCCTAACAGAAATGTTGTGCTGTTGAGGTCACCCTTTTCTGTTCCTCAGTAATGACATCCACAACTGCTTTTAGAAAGTGTAATATCCATACATTTCAAAATATAACATGAGGTTGGATATTTATCTGCATTAAATCAGTGTTTTGGTACATTTTGTTCCACAAAGATGAATAGTTTTTCTTTCTTTTCTCCACCTGCCTACCTGTATTCCTCCTAATGAGGTATACATTCTTTATTCTTTCTGCAGGTTTCGCCAATCTTCAGCAGGACTTTGCCTCCGGTTAGCAGAAAGTGCTAAATTTGTTTGTAACACCCACATGAGTGTGGGAGTTGAGAGCAGAGAGCAAAGTCGACTACAAATTCGCTACTACCAGGTTACAGGAAATCAGGACTCAAGGACCTCAAGGTTTTAAAGACAGAAGCATAACAGCATTGTTCTGCAGAGATCTGGTCCTCTTTATTTCTGCTAACAAGCACTGGAAAATGTTTGTGGTCAAGACTTTAACTGAACAATGTAAGAGGGAGCATCTTCTTCCCAAAGGACAGAAAGAAAAGAGTGAAATTATCCAAACACTGAGATTACCTTGCAGTAGAGAAGAGAACAAAATGGTTTCAATTGGCACGCTAATGCTCGTTTCCAAACCACAGAAAAGCAATTACATATTGTCTTTGTGTGGGACCATAAAGTCAATTAATATTAAAAGTCTCATTTTAATGTGCTGCAGGTGATTCCCTTCCTGTTTTAATTTAACAGACTAATTAGAAAAGTTAATTATACTTCATTTCCCTGGAGGTGATATGCTTCTAAAGGTGAAAAAAAGGAGCTGTAGGGATCAAGATCCAGATGGTGCAGATTTAGCCACTGTGATGTAAATTGTTTAAGATGTTAAAGGTATCTAACAAAATGCTTTATAGTGCTGTCATGCAAAGATATACTTATCTGATAAATGAGGCTAGAGAGTCAGAGGGCATGGTAATGTTCATAGTACAAGACAGATTTCCATGGTGGATTTAAAGGCAAAGGTCGCCTCTGTGAGCAGACAGCATGTGAAGGTCAGAGCTGAACTGCTGGTGGCCGAGGATAAAAAAGATGCAAGACTCACGGACAGAAGAGATGTCTGCGAAAGGATCCTCCCCCTCCTCAGCACCGATCAGGTCGTTTTTACCTTTCTTGGCTTTGCCTCGTTTCAGGACTGTAAAAGAAAACATCACAGACAGAAGGGGAACATAATAAGATGAGTCTTTCAGCAAAATATAACAATTTATAAATAGAACTGTTCTTTTATGCAAAAATGATACAATGGGCATGTGCACGTGCTTGCCTGAGTGCATGTGCGTGCATGTGCATGGCAGAGGAGGGGTGAGCTAATTGGAAACTATGAATAGCAGGCATCAATCATGTTTTTCATTTAGAGATTTTCTGCCTTCCTGTTTGAAGCCAGCCTTGGAATGAAAAACTGCCAGCACAACATGAATGGGATTGTCACATGACCACCTCCCTGTCAGAGGAGTGGTGGGTTCAATCTCCAATCTACAACCCTGTAGCTCTGCCTGAAAGGGCTGCATGGAGAAAGAAAATAACAGCAAGACTAATGAGGCCCGGACTGGGGAACACTTGAACAGCCTTATCAAATCATTTGAAAATCATAATTTTTTTCTAATCAATAATAACTTTCTGTTCTTGAGATAAGAGGGTACTAAGTATTTTGCTAGTATCTCACAGCATCTACCTTTAGTTAACCAAATTATATTTAAATTAACTATCTGGTCTAGAGGACATATTCATTGGCATTCATTGTTTTAGAACAAAGCATATTCTTCTTCTGAGTCAGTCAGCTTTCCACTGGCTCTTTTCTCCACTACTCATACCTGTCATTCACATGACAGACGCCAGCTCCATATTTTCTGCTTCAACAACAGCAGAGTGGTTTTTCTATGGCTGTGGTCTCAGACGTTTTAATCCCTGATATGGAACTAATTGAGAAAAAACAGGCTGCTGGCTGCTGTCACTTTACTGGAATCATCAGCCCAGATGTGTTTGCAGTGTCTGACTGTTTACTGGAAAAAGCATATCCACATAAGTGTGTGTTGGGAAGCGTGACATAGTGAATATTTACCCCCAACAAATCCAATCAGACCTAAGCTCTAAATCCCACTAATTAACCCCTTGCCTTCACGCCGGGCCTAATGGACTGGCATTATGGGGGAGAGAGAGAGAGGGAGAGAGAGAGAGAGAGAGAGAGAGAGAGAGAGAGAGAGAGAGAGAGGACTGAAAAGCAGTTTATTCCTATTGAAATACATTAAATAAAAGATACACTAAATAACACTCTACACCAAATTGTTTACAGTGACCACCAGTGGAAAATAAGTTATATAACTGCTGGGCTGGACATGACTGCAACATTTTCTTATTGCTTTTATATTCTTGTCTGGCATTGCTACCAAACACAATTTAATGTTTTTCCAAGACGGTTCACTTCATCTAAAATCCATTCTAACTGCCAGATGACTAAGTTATGTCTTCTTTACAATACAATGTTTTAAAAGACTTAAAAGTTTAAGTCCTTCACTCCAGTCCCAGAGCATACAGCAGATCACATTCATGACACATGAGTAATGCACAGAAGGTTTATGCTGTAAAGGATCAATAACTGAATGTTAATGATGAACCGGTACCTCTCTGTGCCTGGTTTACCATCGACCACCTGTGGTCCAGGAGCATGGTAAAGCAGGCAACAGATACTCAGCCCAGTTTTCACCTGGCAGGTTTTGTTTCCTCTTGTACCACGCACCATCCAGCGGGGACTTATCCTCGGCAATCTCATCTTCTTCCTCCAGCAACACCTCCTCTGCAGAGGGAGGGAGAGAGAGAGAGAGAGAGAGCGAGAGAGAGAGGACAGAGGGACTTTCTATCAATTTGTCATGTTTTTCTAACACAACAAACACATACGTGCCGGCTCTCATGCTGTTTCAGAGATGAGTCTGACCTGCTTTGCAGATCCACTCCAAGTACCCGGTGAGCTCTCTCTCGATCTGCTGCTGCCTCCGAAGCTTCAGGAACTCCTGCCTCTTCTCCACACGCTCCCTCTCTTTGGCAAATTCTCTGTTGAGACAAAAACAGAGAAAGTTTTAATACAGAGAAAGACGTTCTATATGTAACGTTGCATCATTTTTGACATATTGGACAACATTCTCCTCTGCTTCTGACAGGAGCTAAACTACGCAGGAAGAAAGTGAAAGTGCTCCTCTGAAGGATTATTAACGGGGGAGTTCAGATGACAGCTGGGCAGATATTGAGGGCATGAAAGAGGAAAACTGCTGTTGGCGAAGCTCAAGCTCTGTTAGATATTTCAAAAATGAACTGTGCTGAAATATAGAAAAAACTGTGGGGTTAGATGTTCAGGCATGACAGATTGAACAGCAGTTTCATGACTTTCCATTAGATATGTATGATATATCATATAGCTTCTGCATAGATAAATGATTATTTTAACAAGTATGAAAGACATATTCACTTTCTCTGCTCTAGTTAGATCAGGAGTGTTATTCCACTTGATATCTCTCCTTAACAAGACCTAGCAGGCAATTAGCCTAACTTAGCAGCAAGCCGTTTATTAACCAAGGCTGGGAAAAATCAATGTGACTGCAACTCTTGCACTCACCACTTAAAATGATACATGTTGTTGCTGTACATTACAAGTTGTAAAATAGTCAACAACTGATTTTATAAGATGATTATCATTATCTTGGCTGTGAGAAATGACCTCACAGAGTTGTCCTTGGCTGCCTGGTAACTTCACGGTGATAACAAAAGAGGAAAGGTAACAAAAAAAGAAAAACAAATAAAAGAAAAGATCAAAAGATAAGGTAAAACTTGAAAACTTTAGATTCATATATTTACTTTTGTAAAAGCTCAAAGCAAGCTTTCTCCAGCAGTGTTCAGTCATGATGCTATAAGCTAAGCTAACTCACTTATTTTAGCTTCATATTTAGCATGTAATTATAGGGGGGAAACAATTTTCTTGTCCATCTGAGCAAGAAAGTTATTTTCCCATTTTCTTTGTACTGTACAAGTATTGTATACATCAAGTACCCCTCTCTCAAAGAATGTTGTTATAATGAAGCTGCTCTCTCTCTCCACCAAGTGGATTACAGAAATGGTCATTTTTGTCTGACATGTCGTAAAGTTCTGGATGAACTGAAACAGCCAAGACCAGCTTCTCCTCCATCTTTTTTGGTTGCCAAGGTGACGTGTACTGACCGTTCAACCCTATGATTGGTTGGTTGAAAAAAGCGCTGGTGTTGTCAACAGCGCCTTTCTGAAAGGTTGAAAGATTTTCAACTTGAGCGCTCAGAGCAAAGACACTGGGATCTGCTCTTTTTGTCCGGGCAGCTGCTTTCTGCTGTGAACGCTCTACTCACTGAAAACAATTTAAATAAGATGCTGGTGCTCAGAAAAAAACGCTATAGGAGGACACAGGGCCTAAGGGGAGTAAACTGATCAGACAATCTCAGCCGTCTTGATGATGTCTGCTTGTACTGATGAAAAGTAATAGTAATAGAAGCAAAGGACTAAACAAACACTGCTTCTCTTTGATTACATGGAAACAACAGGGAACATGACAAGAAAACAGAGGGAAGCCCCTGCAGCAGAGGGATTCCTGTGACCTCCAGGCTAATGGCCGCACAAATGTTTGCTTTCATCCAGATTTCACTGAGACAATGGAGCTGTGAGTCACAGCGGCTCAGGAGAGGCTCTTTGAGACCACAGACACAATGATGAGCAGACAGGACCAGGATGATTAAAGCCAGAGCGAGAGGCCTTTACATGACACAGGAGGATGACAGGGACACATGATCAGAGACGGGCAGTAAAAAGGCTGAGGACACAGAGGAGCTGAATAATTTGTCCATGTTCTCATTTAAGTAATTTCTCTCTCAGTCATTATAATACGTGGTAATCCATTGTAGGTAACAGACAGGTAACATCTTGAAGCTCTGACCCTTGATAAAGAGGATAGTGTTTTCTGTTTATAGCACATGGGCGGGCTTTCATAAAGGCTGAGAGAAAAAATGCTACACACTGAAGCCAATGCAGAAGTGACTCACAAGCAGAATAAAGGTATTCTAAATGAGGCCCCAGGTTCTTCAAATATCTTCTTCTTCTACTGTTGTTTATTTTTTGCAGATTTTCCACAGAAATATAGAACCCATTAAACTCAGTTATATGATCTCATTAACCCAAAACTGTTTATGTTAATAAAGAGTGATAAGATAATGTAAAAGGCAATTAAAAAAACTGCTGTAATACATCTAAGAAGTACAAAATAAAATTTTGAACCACTTCCTGACTTAATTGCAACTTGTAATTATGAAATAAAATGTTGTGTTGACTACATTTTTCAGTCAAATTGCTACAAAATGTAATGTACAAACAAAACATGCTAGGATTTCCATTTTTTAGGGGGCGCCATAACTCAGGCCCAACTTGGGTTGGTAACTGGAGGGTTGCCAGTTCAAGTCCTGATGGAGGAATCCATGAGGAGGAAGTTGGTCTGGTAGATGAAGAGGTGCCAGGGCAATTTCTGAGTACTGCCGAGGTGCCCTTGAGCAAGGCACCGAACTGCTCTGCAGCCCCACTCTGACATCTCTCCACTAATGCATATCCACAGGTCCTGTTTGTGCATGTGTGTGTAATTTGGGCCTATATCTCTCAAAAAATGTAGTAAATTAACACTGTATTTCAAGTAAAGTGATCCCAGCTTCAAAGCCGAGTGTGTTAACATTATGAGACAACTTACCCGGAGAGCACACCGAGCACTAGGTTGAGCATGAAGAAGGAGCCGATGATGATGAGAGGGATAAAGTAAAGCCAGTTCCAGGCGTTTCCTGCAACATCATTGGTCTGTGGACAAAAACAACACAAAAATAAGCAAGAAGGTCGTTTTAGCTTTCCAAAGGATCTTTTTAGACAATTGTTCACTTTATTTAAAAGATTTATTTTTGAGCTTTTGACTTTATTTAGAGACAGGACAGTGGATAGAGTATAGGAGAATGACAATTGGGAAAGGAGCCTCAGGTCGGACTTGAACCCGGGCAAGGTTAATGAAAACATCCCAATTGAAAGTGTACAAAGTGCACCTGTAGCCTTAACACACCTGTTACACACGCTGAAAACAGGTCAGAAGAACATATTCAGTTATTACTGTAACTGTAAGGTCATTTTATTTTACAATAAACTGTATGTTTTAAACAAGAGTCCTTTTATTTTTAAAGTGACTCTAGTAATGTAAAGCAAACAAAAGATGGTTCATTAACGAATCTTAAATAACATTTGATGGAACTTAGTTTGGTGTTTAATGAACCAGCAAACAGTATGTATCCTACTTTCCTATTTCTAATCCACAGCCGTAATAAACCAGTTTTTTGCTAACTTCTCTGAGTAAAAAAAAACCAAAAAGCTTTGCTAGCTAACCTTATTTCAAAAACACTTGTCAGTTTGCAAAAGTCATTAAAACAGTCTCTCTGTCTTCTCTACTACACAACTCCACCACCAGTTGTCCCAACAACAAAATCAAATTCTGCCAGCAACACAATGTATAATTAAACATGAATAACATCCATTGTGAATAAACCGAGACAGACAAACAGGTAATACATTTCAGATTTGTTTTAATGACACACTCTCAATTACAGTACAGTGCACACACACACACACACACACACACACACACACACACACACACACACACACAACACACACACACACACACACACACACACACACACACACACACACACACACACACACACACACACACACTACCATACACAAACACACACTGCTGTTGGTCTATGCTGGCTAATGACCACCATTGCAAGCGGGAGCACACCACCCACTCAGCTCGATACCCCCCCCCCCATGTTTTTGATCTATGCTGAATCATTGACTGCTAACCGGCTCACAGCACAAATGTGGACAGTCAAACAAGGTTTGTGGATGTAGGTATCACATTTATCTTTCAACCACAGTGATTTGCTGCATTAGTGAGGTTCAGCTTAACAAACGTTTTGCCATAAAGTTTGAGACATCATGTTTAAAATGTCATTGTATGCTCGACAGTAAAGATTTCTCTACATTGAAACTACAACAAATTGGGCAAGGTGCAAACTCACATTGGCCCTTTAGCGCATGGGGGGGGGCTTTTTCCTTTATGAAAGAGGACAGTGGATACAGCAGTAGATTGGGAGAGAGAATGGGGAATGACACACCGTAAGGAGCCTAAGGCTGGACCCAAACCCAGGCCGCCCCAGGACCGCCGTCCTCACACATTTGGTTGTATACTTTTATATCTATGCAGACTGTGTAACTCAGACTGTGCTGCAACAATACTAATATTCCTGCTGGTTTCCCACTGGGAGTTGCATGGACTCAGCTTCCTCTATGTCTGAGAGCGCTCCCACACAGCGGCCTGTTAGCGGGGGGACAGACCTGCCGACTGATGGGGTGTGTGAAGCACTGTGACATTTTGCAGACGCCAGTGTCGGAGCCCTGCCACATGCTGGCTGTAATTGTGATGGGAGGTTCAGGGTGGCTGATTCAGCAGGCTGGAAATCTGTATTATGCATCCGAGAATGTGAGATGAACACACACACATATACAGTGGCACATCCTCTCTCATGGGCTGTCAGGGAAGCAGCAGCCCACACACAGAGATAAATGCCAGGCAGAGGCTCCAGTGTGTTGCTTTGCTTCATTTCTTTATCTCATCACTCAATCTTTAAGTCTCTCTTTCAGTCCCGCCCTTTTTCTTCTCCACATACAGTTGGAGTTTCTTTGTAGAAACAAAACATGAAATCCTATCATATTCTCACTGCCGCAAATACATTAAGTACATAAGTACATCAAGCCTTGCAAGATTCAAAAATATGTCTTTCTCCTTAGGGCACACGTTTTACATCTAATATTGTGATTTCTTACATTCACCAATTTAAGGGCTCTGACTCTTTCCTGGCAGAAAACAGCAGGGTGCAAGGCCTGTGCCAAGCAGGGTGGCTAAATGATTAATTCCCATTGTTTGGTCATTATCACTAACTGCAAGCCCCAATATTTTTTCCAACACCTAACAGTAAAAGGAACAAATAAGAACTGAATCTGCTAGCTATCGGAGAAAAAACAGATCATTTTGTCCAGAACCAAATATTTTTCTCAGAAATTGTTGGAGATACACAAAAAAGAGCAAAAAGGAGAGTGTATGGATTCAATTTGCAAGGAAGACCAAAATCCAACATGGAAAGGCTTTCAATGTCACTATGATATGATAAAAAAGGATACTATACAATATAATAGAATAACTTCATGATGATAATTTCGGATATAGGCAGGAATTTTATAAGTGAATGTTAAGTTTTGAGTTTTTTCCCGCTCCCTTTTAGTGGTTAAAAACATTCAGGTTTAAAAATGTACTTTTCTTCTAATGCTCCATGTAAACAGCCATTTTTGTTTCCATGCTTAGAATACAATAACATGCACTTGTGTTTTCTTTTTGCACAACACCAGATATCTCTCTCTGGGGAACTCTAGATGCCTGGCGTTGAGGAGAAAATGAAGTGGAAATACACTGTGTTGCATCAGCTTTCAGTCTCACAGTCAGCTGGTGAGCAGGAAAGACTTTTCTCTCCTGTTGACATGGCCTTAACTCTTCAGCTGACTGCTCAGGCAGAGGAGCTAAGTTGGGTTAAGCTTATGTAAATCGTTTTTTTTTTCAGATTCTGTAACACAGAAAGGTCTTCATGGCTGAAGTGTAAGAGCTGCTGCTTTTTCCTCAAATCTAAGAGTTTAAACAAGCTCAGTGCAATCAAGCACACACAATTTGTTTTTATGCTACTTGTAAGCTTGATAAGGACAATGTTTATTTTCTCCACTTACAGTATTCACCTTACCTTCATTAACACACAGTGAACCACTGTACAGATCAAAACAATCAATAATTTTTAAACCTGACGAGAACATCAATGGCCCATTTTAATATCATGAATCATCTTGTTCCAGTATGATAAATAAAACAGGGATCAGGTTATATTGCAACTATTTTATCTGTAGAGGCCTCATTTAAAGACCATCACTAACCTATAATTTGAACCAGGACAGTACTGACAACACAGTGGTCAACACTTCAGATCCTGAACATATCTTATTGGCTAATCTTTAACAAACAATTCAGAAAAATCTAACAATTATGCAAGCCGTAAAACCTTCCATTATAAATACATTGTGGTATGAGGGAATGATCAGAGAAAGAGAAGGCAAAGGGAGAAGAGTAGATTTGTAATCTAGCCTCCGGCAGAATGGAAGGACATCCATCAATTCAATTTATCATATGTCACTTCAGGATTGAGGGTGTAATCCAGTATTCTATATTTTATACAGCCGCTGGCATCATCAGAGAAACACATCTGTGTTTCCATCTACATTCAATTTAAATATAAAAGGTGTATGTGTGTGTGTGAGAGTGCATATGTAGATTTTCCTTTTGAACATTTTTTAAATTGTTTCTTTATTTATTAATTTTAATCCAACCTTGCAATCTGTGTCTTCGTAGTCTATGTTAAAAAATGTTTTAAATGGAAGAACAATGTTTCCCCTTCAGTCATTTTGCTTCCAACTAATTTGTGTGTATCATAAACTGTGAATCTGAAAAAAGCAGTGCTTTAGTGGACTAACTGAGGGGTGGAAACAATATCTCACTTTTTAATTTAACAGCATATGTGAAGATGCAGATTTGTGTACATAAAAGCTTTAAAAAACAATGCCCCTAGCTCTGACGGTTTTCTCATAACTATCCCATTTTTCAATGTAAGTATAATATTGTAAATGACGTGTGCATTTGGCTGAGTGGTTCACCCCACCTCTTAGTGTGCTGCATATGGAGCCCCGCATTGAGATGAAATCGTGCTGCGTGCATAATATGGAAGCACATAGTGAGCATATGGCATCAAGGCCAAGGGGTACACTTGTTTTAGTTCATTACAAAACTGCTGACGCTCTATGGTGCCGTTAGCAAGGTCCTCTTAATGACCCCATAGATACAGTCGGCACATCCATCCAAAATCCAAACATGTGTGTGTCTGTAGTCAGCAGCACTTTGGTGTCATGTTTACCTTATCCAGACAGTGTTACATTGTTTCAGGGGTTCCTTGAATGTTGGATTAATAATGTTCCATGTTTTACAAACTGAGTAGCTTTCCTCACAGCACATTTATAACAGTTAACAAAAATACAAATCAATAATAAAGATAATAAGCAGTTCATGTGAGTGCTGCATCAGTAGAAGATAAGTGCTCTGATTTGTGTCTGTAGTCCAAGTAGTATTTACCAATCATGTTTAAGAACCTTGTGGACTTTATGCAGAAAAAAAAGGGGGAGAAACGGAGGCAATGCAAATTGGCCAAAATGCAGAACTCATGAACTCACAGTGTCTGGCAATAGTGAGCCATATCAGCTGTTTACGTCAGAAACCTGTAATTGTTCATCTTTTTCCCCAGACGCAAAATCATCAGACAAGATGATGGATAGTGGAACTGCTTCTACTTCACTTGCTACAGGTATGAATATAGATGTGAAGACAAAGAGGTACATGGCAATATGTCATGACATATTCCTTTAAAAACAAAATGTAAAAAATTTAATAAAATAGAATCTGCATGCTGTAGGTAAAATATGATGCACTCAAAAGTTTCTTCCCACATTTTGTTGCTATTTGAAAACAAACTTTAGGTAATGACTTATATCTTCTGAGTCTGATGTTTTCATATGAGTTCACTTGATATCGTTATTCCACCTCTGTTATTTCTCTGAGTCATCGCAGGCTGACTGCTCTAAATGATCAGTGAAGAAAAAGCTAG